AAATTATTTTGAATATTTTTTGGGACATGGAAGACTTCTAGAGGTGTTTCTCCGCGAATACATGACGGATCATGATATGCTATAGCTCATTCGAAACTACATTAAAAACAGTCTATAAAAACTGTTCTAATCGGATTCTACAGTAACCCTATCTATTTGATAAAATTTTAGAAAAAAATTATTTTGAATATTTTTTGGGACATGGAAGACTTCTAGAGGTGTTTCTCCGCGAATACATGACGGATCATGATATGCTATAGACCATTCGAAACTACATTAAAAACAGTCTATAAAAACTGTTCTAATCGGATTCTACAGTAACCCTATCTATTTGATAAAATTTTAGAAAAAAATTATTTTGAATATTTTTTGGGACATGGAAGACTTCTAGAGGTGTTTCTCCGCGAATACATGACGGATCATGATATGCTATAGACCATTCGAAACTACATTAAAAACAGTCTATAAAAACTGTTCTAATCGGATTCTACAGTAACCCTATCTATTTGATAAAATTTTAGAAAAAAATTATTTTGAATATTTTTTGGGACATGGAAGACTTCTAGAGGATAGCTCATTCGAAACTACATTAAAAACAGTCTATAAAAACTGTTCTAATCGGATTCTACAGTAACCCTATCTATTTGATAAAATTTTAGAAAAAAATTATTTTGAATATTTTTTGGGACATGGAAGACTTCTAGAGGTGTTACTCCGCGAATACATGACGGATCATGATATGCTATAGCTCATTCGAAACTACATTAAAAACAGTCTATAAAAACTGTTCTAAGCGGATTCTACAGTAACCCTATCTATTTGATAAAATTTTAGAAAAAAATTATTTTGAATATTTTTTGGGACATGGAAGACTTCTAGAGTTGTTTCTCCGCGAATACATGACGGATCATGATATGCTATAGCTCATTCGAAACTACATTAAAAACAGTCTATAAAAACTGTTCTAATCGGATTCTACAGTAACCCTATCTATTTGATAAAATTTTAGAAAAAAATTATTTTGAATATTTTTTGGGACATGGAAGACTTCTAGAGGTGTTTCTCCGCGAATACACGACGGATCATGATATGCTATAGCTCATTCGAAACTACATTAAAAACAGTCTATAAAAACTGTTCTAATCGGATTCTACAGTAACCCTATCTATTTGATAAAATTTTAGAAAAAAATTATTTTGAATATTTTTTGGGACATGGAAGACTTCTAGAGGATAGCTCATTCGAAACTACATTAAAAACAGTCTATAAAAACTGTTCTAATCGGATTCTACAGTAACCCTATCTATTTGATAAAATTTTAGAAAAAAATTATTTTGAATATTTTTTGGCACATGGAAGACTTCTAGAGTAGAGTAAAGACCCAACACAAGGCAATTCCGCCAGTCGTGTTTAAAATGTGCTGTAGTATGTAGATAGAGAAGATACAGCACAACAAATAATTTCTTTATTAAAAGAGGTCAAATTAATTAAATATTTTATGATGAATTAAATAAAGATTTGATTGATTCTCGAGAATTTATTTTTAATGGCTCGTTGGTAGATAAATAATACATTTTTTGAAGAGACTTTTAGTAAATGCCCGGTTGGTGTCCTACCTGTCCGCAAAGAGAATGTGCATTTTTCCTTCCATTTCTTGCATTTTTTTCTGCAAGGAGTGGCGCCCATTTTTCCCCTATGTACAGTGCGTCCGTAAATTATACGACCACCTGCATTTTTTATAATATCTTATCTTTGATATGATATTTTCACTTCATTTATTTTTTATATTAATTAATTATGTATTCAGAACTTGTTAGCAAAATTTCATTTAAATATTCTGAACCATCTCTCTGAAAATTAAATTTAATCAAAAGTAGTTGATTTTCAAGCGTCCGTAAATTATACGACCACCTTGGATAATCATGTTTCGGATAGCAGGAAGAATCCACAAAAATTCTGGTAAACATATCTATTGATATTAATGTAAAATACAAAAGAAACGGAGTTTTATTATAACTCCATCATCAAGATCTCGAAGCCCAAAAATCAACGGAAAACCGTGGTAAATGTCTTTGAAAAAATTTTTCGACCCCTTTAAGGTTATATTAAATTTTGATTTTATACTTTTCTGAAAGCCCTTTAAATTTGCTATAATACCTGCAATTTTTATAGAAGTCTTCCATGTCCCAAAAAATATTCAAAATAATTTATTTCTAAAATTTTATCAAATAGATAGGGTTACTGTAGAATCCGATTAGAACAGTTTTTATAGACTGTTTTTAATGTAGTTTCGAATGAGCTATAGCATATCATGATCCGTCATGTATTCGCGGAGAAACACCTCTAGAAGTCTTCCATGTCCCAAAAAATATTCAAAATAATTTTTTTCTAAAATTTTATCAAATAGATAGGGTTACTGTAGAATCCGATTAGAACAGTTTTTATAGACTGTTTTTAATGTAGTTTCGAATGAGCTATAGCATATCATGTTCCGTCATGTATTCGCGGAGAAACACCTCTAGTTTACAGAAAATTTTTTTCATTAAGTTGTACTTCATTAAATTTCTAAGTTGCTAAGAAAAGGCATTTCATGGGGTAGATTTAATGATTTTCATGTCCATTGAATTTAACCCTCAATATCTCCCAAGTAAAATTTTTCGATTTATTAACAATAAGGATTTCTTATAGCAAATTTAAAGGGCTTTCAGAAAAGTATAAAATCTAAATTTAATTTAGTCCATAAGGGGTCGAAAATATTTTTTAAAGACCTTCACCTCGATTTTCCGTTGATTTTCGGATTTCCGTTGATTTTCTATCAGTATATATAAGAAAAACAAAAGAAACGAAGTTAAAATATAATCCCTTCATCAAGATTTCAAAATCCGAAAATCAACGGAAAATCGAGGTGAAGGTCTTTAAAAAATATTTTCGACCCCTTATGGACTAAATTAAATTTAGATTTTATACTTTTCTGAAAGCCCTTTAAATTTGCTATAAGAAATCCTTATTGTTAATAAATCGAAAAATTTTACTTGGGAGATATTGAGGGTTAAATTCAATGGACATGAAAATCATTAAATCTACCCCATGAAATGCCTTTTCTTAGCAACTTAGAAATTTAATGAAGTACAACTTAATGAAAAAAATTTTCTGTAAAATAAAAATTGCAGGTATTATAGCAAATTTAAAGGGCTTTCAGAAAAGTATAAAATCAAAATTTAATATAACCTTAAAGGGGTCGAAAAATTTTTTCAAAGACATTTACCACGGTTTTCCGTTGATTTTTGGGCTTCGAGATCTTGATGATGGAGTTATAATAAAACTCCGTTTCTTTTGTATTTTACATTAATATCAATAGATATGTTTACCAGAATTTTTGTGGATTTTTCCTGCTATCCGAAACATGATTATCCAAGGTGGTCGTATAATTTACGGACGCTTGAAATTCAACTACTTTTGATTAAATTTAATTTTCAGAGAGATGGTTCAGAATATTTAAATGAAATTTTGCTAACAAGTTCTGAATACATAATTAATTAATATAAAAAATAAATGAAGTGAAAATATCATATCAAAGATAAGATATTATAAAAAATGCAGGTGGTCGTATAATTTACGGACGCACTGTACATAGGGGAAAAATGGGCGCCACTCCTTGCAGAAAAAAATGCAAGAAATGGAAGGAAAAATGCACATTCTCTTTGCGGACAGGTAGGACACCAACCGGGCATTTACTAAAAGTCTCTTCAAAAAATGTATTATTTATCTACCAACGAGCCATTAAAAATAAATTCTCGAGAATCAATCAAATCTTTATTTAATTCATCATAAAATATTTAATTAATTTGACCTCTTTTAATAAAGAAATTATTTGTTGTGCTGTATCTTCTCTATCTACATACTACAGCACATTTTAAACACGACTGGCGGAATTGCCTTGTGTTGGGTCTTTACTCTATTGAGAAGTTAACCATCGTTCGAGACCAGAAAAATAATTCTGAAAAAAATTTTTAAAGAAAAGAGCTGAAAAGTTTTGATATTTTCTGAAAAAAATTTTCAGATAAAATTCTAAATCTTTGAGAATTTCTTTCCAGAATATTTTCAAAAAAAAATCAGAAATTTTTTTCAAAACTAAATCTCTTTCTCCCTTACCCCAACAAGTAAATCATTCTCACAATAAACATAATTCCTCTTAGTACTAATATTAATATTTTGTGTCAAATTAATATCTTAAGATCTCCGAGGACTTTATTCTTAATTCTTTTTTATTTACTAATTATTTTCCATTTGTTTAAAAAAATTACAATTTATTAATAATAAACTAGGATATAAAATTAAAAACTAAAAATATGAGTATCAAATTTAAAAAAATATTTTAGTATCTAAAAATTGTACTAAATTAAAGCAATTTTAAATTTGTTTTCTACTGCACCAAATTTTTTTATAAATTCAATAAATCTTCAAAGTCGGCTTCTTCCAATAAAACATTAGGATTTTTGGTTATTTTAACTTAAAAATAAAAAATTTCTTTGTTGTAAAATTAATTAAAATTAACCTTTCTCTCCATTTTTATTGGAAAAAGATTTTAAAAAATCATTATTAGGCTCTTCTTTTGTTAGAGTCTTCTCAAGTTCTAACAATAGATCAGAGCTCTTTTTGCTTCTAAAAAAATAAAAAATATAGACAGTCGATGCACACTATAAATTAGGGGTTTAAATTTGATTGACCACTGAAAAGAACTGTCAGAGTGGTATCGTCAATATCAGAAACATCATTTAAATATCCTTCAAATTAAGTCCTATGTCTTAAATTGTTGTCTTAAATTTATGAAGCTTTTCTTAAATTTATTTTTTTATTTTCTTAATCCTATGTCTTAAATTTCAATTTAAGTCCTTTAAGTCCCATGGAGAAAATCTAATAATAAAAATTTTGTTTATTTGAAATAAAGAATCCGAAATTTTCTGGAATTTTTATCACCCAATAAATTTTTATAAATAAAATTACTTTTGTTTAGAAGATCCACTTTTTGGTTCCTCAAATTCCAAATTTTCTTCTTCATCATCATTAAATGATAATAAACCAATTTCATTTGAATGTTTTAATAAATTTAATTTTGGAGGTTCGACCAAATTTAATTCAATATTATCAAAACCGTCATTTTCTTCTTCATCTTTTTCGTCGTCAAAACGAAATAAATCACGAATTCTATCCATTGCAGGCTCACAAACTTCAGTTTCTTCTCCAACATCGTCTAATTCAATCAAACTAAAAAATATTTTTTTAAGAAATTATTTTTGGTATTTATTGTTTGTCCGCAAATACTTGCGGACAAAATTATAAATTGTTTTATTCCCATACTTTTAATTTATCGGTTTTTTATATGATTCAAAATTTTATGCATATACTAGAAAAATTTTGAATGTACCACAACCTTAAAAATCCTAGTGACTAGGATATTCGTTTATCAAAATATTAAGGTAACAAATATTTTCGGGAGAGCATATTAAAATTTGAGGTTTGAAGAATCAGCATTGTCGTCGGAGGTTGAGATTCATTCATGATTCACGAAAACATGAGATGATCATTTATCGCGAGCAGAACCTTAGAAAGTCCGCAAAAATTATTACCAAAAAGTCAGGGGACAAACAATACAGGAAAAATATCTATTTACATAATTAAAAAACCTTTCATTATTTTCTGATTCCATTCTTCTTCTACAATTTAATTGATTTCTGGGTATCCTTTCGCTAGATGAAAATTTCCAATTAGAATTTTTCCCTTCAATTTCTTCTTTTCTTTCTTTTTGTTTTTCTTCTGCAACTTTTATTGGATCATTTAAAATCTTTGAGAATATAAAATTATAATTTACAAACTATCCGCAAGTTTTGCGGACAATACTTATGGAAAAATTTGGTAAAAAAATTGTCTCAAAAAATTTGTCTTAAAATTGTCCGCAAATATTATCCGCAAAAATAGACCAAAATGTTTCTAAAAAATACTTTAAGTACATCAATTTCATAAGATTCTAATCCAGCCATTTCTTCAGTACAAGCAGTAAATTCATCAGCCGTTTTTTCATAAAATTTGAAAAGGACAGACTTGTAATCATTCAATATTTCATCAAATAATTTTATTCTAGCCTTCTTTAATGTATCAACTTTAACTGTAATATCTTCCTTTAGAACATCTAATTTTTGCTTATTTGTTTTTACAACATTTTGAACGGTTCGGAAATCCTTAAAAATAATTAAATTTTAAAAGTGTGGGAGGATGTGGAAGGAAATTAGAGAAAAAATATTTTTTCTAAAAGATTGGGGAGATTCATACCACGAATCAGCCTTCAATTCTACCTTAGAATTCGGGAGAAGGAACCCCTTAACCTAATTTAATGTTATCATGATTGAAAAAGTTTCAAATATGAGAAAGACTAATCACGAAATTAATTAGAAAGACTAATGACAAACCTCCAGTCCATTAGAATCTCTCAATTCTGGATCTAAAGCATCGCTACATTTCTTCATCCATAGTAAAGAACCTCTATAATCCAATCTTGCTTTTTCTACTGCCTCAACAGATTGAGCACAATCTAAAACAGCTCTCTCATAGAATTCCTTTAAAAATAATTTTAAAAATATTTTAAAAGCAAAAAATTTTTACATTTAATTCGTGATAAAATCGAGCAATTAAAAGAAGCAAATTTTGCCTAAAAATATTGATAATTTTCTAAAAAAGTTTAAAAAACCTTTCTTTTGCACAAAGAGCAAAACTATTTGCTGTCATTTGCATTACTCTTTGTAAATGTTTCTTTTCATCTTTGCAATCAAGAAATAATTCAGCAAAATCAAATTCAAGATGAGATAAATCAGAAAACTATTTAAAAAATGAATTACTAAAAATATGGCAGTTGTAAAAAACGAGAACTCTTTCAGTGAGTAAAGAGATCGAAATAGGTCTTGACCAAGACCTGGGTTTTCCTGTACGCAGAGTCCAGGCCTAGGCATTTTTTGACCTTCCTGAGTTGTTCCCTGAGTCTGGGAGTTTCCCGGACACTGGCCCAGAATCTGGCCCGGGTGCATAAATCAAACCCAGGAACAGATCCAAGCTTTTCAAAAATCTCGATCTCTGAGTACATCTAATAAAAATTTGCGTATAATCCAGAAAAAATTGCAGATTGTCCGCACCAATATCTACTATTTTAAAAGTCCAAAAAGGCAATTAGAAGCAGCAAAACAAACCTCTCTATGTAATTTACTCTTAGAATCCAGAAGCCTTTTTGTGCTCTCTTTAATTTGATAAAAGTGTTGTAAATTTAAATCCAATTCAGCATCTGCAGCCAAAATATGTTCATCTTCACGTTTACCCATTTTGTCTCTCAATAATTGTTTTGCTGACCAAAAAGCTTGTTTCATACGCAATTTTGTTGAATCCCCAAATAAATCTTCGGTAAAACGGTCGAAATTGAGGCCACTTTAAAATAAAAAATTAATTTTGATTAAACAATTTTTGTTAGGAAAATGAGGGGAAAAGGTCTTATAATTCACGTGTTTGAAGGAAATTTTATATTTTAAAAAATACCTTGTAGTTGCTTCATAGAATAATGCCATTTCCTCTTGAATCTTAACAGATATGTAGTAATGAATTTTACTGAAATAAAGCTGGAATACTATAAGAATTAGTCAATCTTGATAGAAAAATTACAATGCTTCTAAAATAAAATGGGTACAGCCCAAGTAGGCGCGCGGCCGTAAAGGCGCAAAGCCATAGCTTGCTTCAAGATTTCCTAATGTTACCAAATTTAGTATTAAACGATTCTTCTCATCGAGCTAAAGAGATGGTACCAAATAAGGGCCAGAAATTTTCCAGCAAGTTATGGCTTTACGCCGTTATGGACGTGCGCCTATTTGGGCGTGTCGCAGAATAATGCCTTTGTGACAAAATGGACAATTTTGTTATTTGTGACGAAATGAATTTTAGAGATTTTGAAAATTTTTTCCAATCTGACAACGAAATGTCTACAATCGAAATGTTACCAATTGTTTTACTATTTAAGTTCTTCGTTGGCAATCCCGGAGAATTGGGGTCCCTGCGGGAAAAAATCTTAAAATTAAGAAAAAGGATTTTTCTAGGGTAAAAAAATATGCTGATTACGAATCCGAGCTCGGATTTTGAAAAAGTCGAATCCCGAACCCGAATTCGGACTTTTGATCCCGAACAGGACTTTTGACCCCGAACATTATCAGAAATTGTAAAAAATGGCCAATCTTTCAATAGAATCATAGAACTCATCGTGCTGCATCGAATGATACCAAAATCAATGAAATCCGATCGGATTGAACCGAGATACAGACCCCTAAATATTGAAAAACCACATGGGTGATTTTTTGGAGTAAAAAAAGTTTTTACAAATGATAGCTCATTCGAAAGAGCTCGTCGAGCTGAGTCGAATGACACCAAAATTACAGTGATTGATCAACTTTAGACAAAGTTATGACATAAGTCGCCGTCTCTTACAGTACTCCCAAGGGTTTACTTTATGTCATAACTTTGTCTAAACAGGTTCAATCACGTTAATTTTGGTGTCATTCGATGCAGCTCGACGAGCTCTTTCGAACGATCTATCATTTGCATATTCGAAATTCGGGTTCAGGGTTCGAAATTTGGTTCGGGTTCGGGATTCGACTTTTTCAAAATCCGAGTTCAGATTCGTAATCAGCGTATTTTTTTACCCTAGAAAAATCCTTTTTCTTATTTTTAAACTTTTTTTTTCGCAGGGACCCCAATTCTCCGGGATTGCCCTTCGTTTTTCTATTGAATATTTTTCTTTGATGATTAAATATTTTTTATTTTTTAGATAAAATCTTTGAAATTATGTATTTTACGTGTGTCAATGAATCACAAGAAATAAACTTGGGCTGTGAGATTGAACAATGTATTGATCGACATTTGAATGTTTTTCCGTTTGATAAGAAGGATCTTGTTTATATTTTTGGTGAAGACTTTGATGAAGAAGGTGTGTTTTTAAAAAGTTTTCGCATATTCTAACAATAAGTAGCTTTTAGTTGTCTAAACCAAGAGCGTATCTTGGATAAATTTGAAAGGAAAAGTGGCTAAAAAAATCCGCGTTAAGTGTGTCGTTTACAGACAACCACTGTATTCTGCTGGGAAAAAAAGAAAAACAACGGCATTTTTTGATGACCAAAAAGCTTGAATTCCTTCCATTTTCAACTCCCCGGTTGAAAATTTTGGGAAATTTGAGTTTTTCCTATTTCAGTGGTAGGGTATAGCCACACAATTGTCGATTAGTAACACAATCTTATTTTCTAATTTTCAGACAGTTCTATCAGTTCTATTCCTGTATCACCATCATCTTCTCAATATTCCACGTGTGGTTCTGAAATTAATGAGGATTCGGGTGCTTGCAATAAAAACCACAAAACAAAATTCTCAAAGCCGCAACAACTTTATTTTGGATCTACCAACATTCCACCTCCTGCTTCATCAAGAAATGCTCAATTATTTGCTTCTCGACGTTCTCTTCCAATATGGAATTTCAAAAACAAAATTTTAGCTTCTATTAAACAACATCCTGTTACTTTAATTACTGGAGGGACTGGTTGCGGGAAAACTACTCAGGTTGATTTTTAATTAAAAATTAAAGAAGGCATGGAATTCAACTTTTAGGTTCCCCAATTTTTGTTGGAGGATGCTGCAGAAAATTCTACTCCAATACAAATAATGTGCACTCAACCTAGACGTCTTCCTGCAATATCAATTGCTAAAAGGGTTGCTTTGGAAAGAGGCGAAATGCTTGGGGATATTGTTGGATATCATATTCGTTTGGAGCAGAGGTTTTTTAATTTAATTTTTTGAGGGATTTGGTCATTAAAGACAATGTTTTTGACATTATATGGATAAAAATTTCATTTTCCCCCTTTGCTATCTTTTTTGTTAACAAATTTTAAATTTAGAATTTCGTCCAAAACTGCACTTACTTATTGTACAAGTGGTGTTCTTCTTAGAAAATTGACTAATGATGAATTAGCTTCAGAGATTACACACGTTATACTTGTTTGTTTTCTTTCACTTTAAAATAATTTTTAATTTTTTAAGGACGAAATTCATGAACGAGAAACAAATACTGATTATTTATTAATTGTTTTGCGATGGGCAATTTCGCGTCGACCAGATTTGAGAGTTGTGCTAATGTCTGCAACTATGGGAGAAAACATTAATAAATTCTTGAAATATTTTGAGCAGCAGGGGATTTGTCATATTGATGGTATTATTTTTTGAGTTTGTAAATTTTGTTATTTTTTGGATATGTGGGGGTTTTCCCCCTATTAAATTGTGTTCATTTTTTTTATTTTTAGTTCCTTCACGTGTCTTTCACGTCGATTGTTTTTTCTTACCTGAAATTATTGCTTTAACTGGTTATCAATCAAAATCGTCTTTTGGAATGTTTAACAACAATATCAATAAAAATAATAGCAATGGAACTAAAATTACTGGAGACTGCTATTCTCCCTTTCAATCATCGTATAATCAATTTGAATCCAATCCTCCAATTAATCCTTATGGGTTTTTTGAATCCTCAAATATACAGGTTAATTTTTATATTTTCTCCTTAAAGTTGCATAAAACGAGTTGTTTTGTGGAACATAATAAAACTCATGGACTTTAACACTAAAATTAAAATTTTCAGAATAATTCTTTTGGTTATGAGAATGGCAGTTATGCAATGAATTCTTTTCCGTTATGTCAATCAAACTCCAATTATATTGATCAACTCCTTATTGACCGTCCTTCCTTTGCTGACAAAAATTTTCTATTAAAATTTCGTGTTGGAATGCTTCTTTTGCCGCAAAAGGATATAGTTGATGTATGATTTTTTAGATTTGTTTTGATTTTTTTCGAGGATAGTGGAACTAAAATTCCTCCTCCTCAACTCGGAAAAAACAAAAAATGTTGAGAATTTTTAAAATTAAAACCTAAAATTTAGAAATATTTGGACTCTGGGGGCAGACAATGGCGTGATTCTGTTGATATTGATCTTGTTGTAGCTACATTAAGATATCTTGTGGATAGTTCTGTTCAAGGGGCAATAATTGTATTTTTTTATTTAAAATTTTTAATTTGATTTCTTTTTCTAAAGGTTTTTCTTCCTGGTTATGAAGAAATTTGTAATGTTTATTATCGAATTATGACAATTTTTGAAGAAGGAAAATTTAATTCCGAACCTGTTGTTTTTACTCTTCATTCTCAAATTAATATGAATGCGCAGCAGAAAGGTTTTTAGTTATTTTATTTAATGAGGGGAAGGAAAACCTAAAAGGATTTTTCTACTTCGCTTTAAGTCGTTTAATTACTGACTTTAATGACATTAAAAATTTTTGGAAGTTGATTAGGAAATTTAAAAATAAAAAGACTAGAGGGGCACAGACTTCGTATTTTTATTTTTTATTGTCTATTATTTTTTTAATTTTTCTTTCCTTTAGTGTTTGATCGTGTTAAAGATGGACAACGTAAAGTGGTAAGTAGCATACTCGATTTACAACAATTTTAATTTAATTCTTTTTTAAAGATTTTGAGTACTAATATCGCTGAAGCTAGTCTTACTGTTGTAAGTTTATTTCTGTTCATTCCTAAGTCTATAAAGATATTTAGGATGATGTCGTATTTGTAATCGATAGTGGAAAAGCAAAGGAGAAATCTTACGATTCTTCAACTCATGTTGCCCGCCTTAATTGTTGTTGGATTTCACAATCAAGTGCTGAACAAAGAAAAGGTTTAAAAATTTTTTATTTGGATTTATTATTCTGTGCGGACATAATTATTGACCTTGGGAGGTGGGGGTCTAAATTTCCATGGGATTGAACAAAGGAAAGGTCTGATTACTAGAATAAAAATAGGGGACGGATTCTTTATTTTGTTTACTTCTTAATAATAAATTTTCATAGGTCGTGCTGGTCGTTGCCAATCTGGTTATTGCTTTCGCCTGTATACTTTGGAAGATTATAACAAAATGGAGCCATCACAATTACCTGAAATTAAAAGAACTGCTATTCATGTTGATTTTATTATTAAATTTTTTTTTATAAATTGTTTTAAAGGAAGTTTGTTTACATGCAAAAATGTCTGCGCCTGGTGGTTTAACTGTTCAAGAATTTCTGAGACAAGCACCAGACCCACCTGATGAATTTATCGTGGAACAAAGCATGTTATTTCTTGAGGTTTTTAGTTTAATTTTAAAATTTTTTAAATTTATTTTTAAGCTTCTTGGTGCCCTCCAATCGCCACAAAGCTGGGATGACTTTAATACTCCATCAGATGGCTATGTGGATTATAATTATTCCCCTACGCAGCGTAATACAAATCATCGTAATCGAGGGACTCTTTACCAGGTATTTGATTTAGAAAGTAATTATGTAGGGATAATATGTGGGGGATAGGGTCTCACTGAAACAGAAAATCTGTTTTTTAAATAAATTTTAATTTTACAAATTTTAGAAAATGAGCCGTTCCAGCAATATTTCACCAAGAAGTTGTACTCAATATAATTTTGAAGATGTATTAAATGATATTCAGAAAGAAGCTGACATTACTGAAATTGGCAAAATTATAACACATTTGCCTTTAGACCCTAAATTAGCCAGGTTTATTCTCTTTGTCTTTCAAAATATTATTAAAACTTTTTTTAGGCTGCTGCTTTTTGGACTTTCCTTTAAATGTTTGAACCCAATTACTACTCTTGTTGCTGCCATATCATATCGTGATCCATGTTAGTTTTCTCTCTAAAATTTTTTTCGAACATTATGGTTACCTGAAATAAGCATTTGTTTGATTGCTTATTTTGACATGCCGACATTTATAATGTCGCCAATCATTTTTGGGATTTTTTTTAAATTCCGTTTTTCAATTTCATTTTGTTGTAAGTATTAACGTTAAATAAGTTTTTCCTCAAAAATGAATACCTTTCTATATTTTCATCTTCCCTTGTGCGAATTTTTTAATTAAAAATTTTTTAAAGTTTTATTGACAATTGGAAGCGACGACAACAAAAAACGTGATGCCTTAATTGCTCGTGACAAACTTTGTAAAAATGATTTGAGTGATCATCTAATGTTAATTCGCCTATTTAATGCTTATGAATCAGAACCAACTCAATATTTAAAAGAAAAGTTTTGTGACCAATATTTGGTTAACGAACAAGCTATGAGGATGATTCATGGAATAAAGTTTAAATTTTTTATTAAAAAATTTTTTTAATTATTAAATTTAGGAAACAATTAATGTATGAACTTAGACGATGTCATTTAGTCCCAGATGATGTATTTAGAGCAGAAGATGACTCGTCGTTAAATAAATATTCTGATAGTTGGCCAATGGTACAAGCAGTAATTGTTGCTGGATCTTATCCGAATATTGGGTATTAATTTTAAAATAATTATTTTTCATATAAAAATGTTTTCATTTTATAGTTTTGTGCAAAGAGGGAACAAATTTAATAGGATTCGTTCACAGTAAATTTTTTATTGATTTTATTAATTTTTTAAATTTAATTTTTTGGATTTATTTTTTTCTAAATTTCTGAAAAGTAAATTAAAATAAATTTAATTTTTAATTAAAAATTATTAAAAAAATTTATTTCAGTGTTGGAAAATCATCAATTTTTCATGCTAGCTCCTCATTAAAAAAGCAACTAACAACAATTACAAATACCTCATCAAATAATTCAAAGAAAATTGAACCAGAATATTTTGTATTTCACGAAGCAATTGCAAAAGATGATAATATTATGACTCAACATTCAATCAAAATTGTTACAGCAGTTCCTCAAATTGCTGTTTTATTATTTGCTGGTCCAATTCGAATGGCAGCGGAAGCTTTGGCATATTTTGAAATTGGTATAATTTTTTTATTTCCATTGATGCCATTGTGTAGATGATTTACTGAATTTTTAATAGTTAGTTGGTCTTTAGTTGGGAGGAGCTTTATACTACTAGTATACTCCCAAATATGGATAAACGATTAGGGACGATTTTTTCAGCTTAATCGGGAATGTTAGGTCCTACATTATTTTGGGGTAGAATGTATTTTTATTATATTCTCTATATTAGTTGATACAAATGGCGATCTTCAACGAAAACGCCAATTACTTCGTGAGGAGAAAATTGCAAAATGGAAAGAACAGCAGGAGAATGAAAGGCGTTTGTGGAATGAACGGAATATTATTATCCATCTGGATGAACACGATACTGGTTTGAATTTTATTCATTTTTTTCTTCAGATTATATTTTCTTTTAAGGTGATCTTAAAGATGAGGATCTGCCACATTCTCTTCAAGATGATGAATTTCTTCAGCTTGACAAATGGTTTGGGTTCCGAGGCAAATTCAATGCATTACAACGGGTTATTCGCCTTCGATGTCGCATAATGGATTTGTTAGTTCGTTCACTAACATTTGGTCAAAACAAGAAACATGATGAGGTAATAAAAAGTTTTGAATGGAATACTAGTTTAATTTTTTCGAACTTATTTGATTAAATAACCTTTTGAAGGAATATTTGATTAAGCGTCTAGTTTCCCAAAAACATTTTTCTTTTACTAATTTATTATTATTTTAGCCTCTGCTCGATTGCCTTAATCAAATCCTTTGCATTGCACATAAATCTCAAGGATTCAATTCAGTGGTGGATTTATCAAGAGGGCCTTCACAACGTAAAATTCGTACAGTTTCTAATTCAAATCGAAATTTGGTCGCAACAACACATTCTGGATCGAAGCATATTAGATGACTTTATTGTATTACAATCAACCTCATTTTTAGACATCCCTAGGATTAGGCACTCCTCAATTTACTGCTACAAGGGGGTATCTAAAACGAGGTTCGACTATTTTTTTTAATTTTAAAATTAATTCAATGCCTTTGATTTTTGTTTGTAATGTCGCATGATTTTTTGCATTGTTATTTGTCAATTTTTTATCTATAATTTATTTATCCCAGTTTTGTATCCTCGAAAATTTTTACTTTATTTACCTAAAATTTTATTTGGACATTCCGTTTTAAAATATTTAAATTATATTTATTTAATTCCAAATTTGTTAATTGGAAGTCATTTTTGAGGTCGAATAAACTTTTAAAAATTTGTTTGGAAGTTTTTAAGTATTTCTAAGCAATGAAGAAATGAACCTAAAGGTCCCAACCGAAAACTAGAAATCCATTTTTAAACTAAACTTTCTGATGTCTAAGATGCCAAAATTCTCGAAAAAGACTTGTAAAATTTGCCCAAAATCGTACCCGGGCTAGGTTCTCCGGGTTATAGCCCTGAAAAAGATTTAACAAAATATCGTGTTGTAGGCTGCCGAATCCTTGTCTTTGCGTTTTAAAAAGTTTTCCCAGACTGAACTTAATTCCCACAAAATGTTATTTAGTTTTTTTACAATAATTAAAATGAAAACCTGCGCAGAAAGAGGCGATGCACTAACCAATCCTTTATGTTGAGCTGTATTAATTGGAATGCTAACATGACTGACGCATCCACTTTCAGCTGTCATATGTGTAGAGCTTGAGAAGAAAGAGGAGCAGTAACTAAATAACAAAAAAAGATACCCCAAAAATTTTCATGAACAGAAAAAACGGCCCTATCCAGAAAGAAGGGTCGAATCGTTTTTTTTCATTAGTTTTTATTTCTTTAAAAAATGGTCAATTTTCCTTAAAGTTGATGTATGTTGATGTTTGCCTTAAAGAAAAATGGTGAAAGAGAACAAACTCGGACAAGCACGGATGAACTCGGACGAGCACGGTCGAACTCGGACGAGCACGGACGAACTCGGACGAGCACGGACGAACTCGGACGAGCACGGACGAGCACGGTCGAACTCGGACGAGCACGGACGAACTCGGACGAGCACGGTCGAACTCGGACGAGCACGGTCGAACTCGGACGAGCACGGTCGAACTCGGACGAACTCGGACGAGCACGGTCGAACTCGGACGAACTCGGACGAGCACGGTCGAACTCGGACGAGCACGGACGAACACTTAACAGACAAAACAACGAGCAAGAACAGACAAACAACACATTTTTGTGTATAAAAATTTAATCTCTTTCACCATTTTTCTTTAAGGCAAACATCAACATACATCAACTTTAAGGGAAATTGACCATTTTTATAAAGAAATAAAAAGTAATGAAAAAAACGATTCGACCCTTCTTTCTGGATAGGGTCGAAAAAACCCTATAATTGCCCAGGAATGCCTACGACTAAAATAACGAAAAATAAAAAAAAACCATAAGAACTGGTATCCTGAGTTGTCACATTGAGATTTGTGAGATTTGTTTTCTTCAACCCAATGAAAACTGGTGGTGGATATGAAAACTGGTGGTGGATATGAAAACTGGTGGTGGCAATGAAAAGGCGGCGGTTGAGTAATTGAAGCTGGAATATTTGTTGATGCTACGGATGCTGAAAAATAAGTTGACTTTTAATTTAAAAAAAGTTCAAGCCTTCAGAAGAATCTGGTTGGGAAGGAGAACGTCCAGTAGTAGTAGCCAATTCTCTTTGTGCTTGAGCTAAAGCCAAATCTGGCATCAGTTTGTGCAGAAGTGACTGTGTATCGGTCAGTACACTAGGCTTGTTAACTCCTCCCTAAATTACATGATAAAAACTAAAATTTTAAAATTAAATAATACTGTTTGTTAATCAGTTGTTTCACCACCAGTTTGGAGCTAAAAAATTGTGAATTTAATTAAACCAATAATTGAATATAGAAACCTCATTCAAATACTTCTGAATCGCTGCCAGCAAACTTATTTGGAAGGAGAGAATCTGCGCTGATTTGTTGTGAGCAGTCAGAACCGAGCACTGTTCCAATGGGTTTGCCAGAAGCTGTTGTTGGTAACATTCAGCACAGAAACTATGTCCACAACACGCGGCTGAAAAAAGTGAAAATTATGGCTTATAGCTTCGACGGGAAACAGAAAAATAGAGGAGCACGAGAAAACCCCATACAAAAAGTCCAATTTTTCATAAACCCCACAAAAAATTTGCGTTCAAAGCAACGTCTTTTAGAAGAAAAGCCAGAAAAACTAATTCAAAACCTAAAACAGCATCTCTCAATGTTCCGGCACCTCCACTTGTTCTTCAGTATAGGGAGCGCCTGTAACATCCTCAGTTTGCCCAGGAAAGGGTTCCTTCAAATTAAAAATTAATTTTAAACTTTAATCAAAAATAAAACATGTTTTCGCTTCAGCCGCCCTTGGAAGTGCACAATGGACTTGACATATTTCCCTGAAGGATGCAACATTGCCAAGGATCGTCCTTGGTAGTTTCCATCAATTCATACATCGGAATTCCAGTGCACTCCAACACAATTTCTGGCCCTTCATCAATTTTAAAATTAAATTTTTTTTAAAAAAAGAGAGAAAATAAAAAGGTAGTTTTTCAACAAGAATTAAAGTAATAAAATTTAAAAAAATAAAAGGAAACAACAAAATACTTTTTACACAAAAATAAATAATAAAATCTTGAATAAATTAAATAAAACATTTTCTAGAACTTCAAAATTCTCTAAATCAAAAATGTAAATCCAAATGCAATAAATAAATTCCAATTACATAAATAAATTAAATTCCACAAATAAATAAATTCCATAAATAAATAATTCCATAAATTAAATTCCAATTTCATTTTTAAACTAAAAAAAGAAAACTTTTATTTTTTATAATAATTTCTTTGTTTTGGTGAAAAACATATGTAAAATTTTGATTTTTGTATTTTTATAAACTCTAAATATTTCCTAGAATTAGTTAAATAAATTATGCCAAAAAATTTATTCCGGAAAGAATAAATGTGTTTCCTTAAATTAATATTGTATTTTCCGAAATACACTTCTATAACATAATATTTCAGGATTTAAAATATAATCCTTTTAATGTTCTCAAAAAATATAGTTCCGGAATAATTTTCGGGAAATATGTTTAAAAATTGATTCCCCGTAAAGTAATAATGTTTCCGGAAAATACAGAATCAGAATTAATTTAAGAAACAAAATGTTTTCCCGAATATAAACAAAACATACAACTATTCCTTCCAATATCAACATAATTTTGATTAAATACATGAAATTCAGGTGGAAGATGGAAATGATTTCCAACCCGGTAGACTGTGACTCTCCAGTCGTTGTGGTAGAAGACCTTACATTCCGCCGGGCATTCACGATCCTAATATAAATCAGAGATGGGACGGGTCGGATTGAGATTTTTCATATTTTCTTACATATCAATTTATTTTTAAGTGTATACAAACATTGGCGGACGTGTGGGTATATAAACGCATAGGACCAAAAGAACACCGTGCCTTTATTTTTTTTTCTAACTTTCAAATAATTTTGTATTTGTACAGCCTTATGTTCGACTAAAAACTGCCAAAAGGTAAACAACAAATTTTAGCTTTTCTTACAAAACCCACAATTGACGACCCGTCCCACCCCTGATATGAATATATTGTGTCTAATTTAATTGTAGTTTAGTGTACACAATAATTCGTGCACACGCGAAAATGATATTTTTAAAATATTTTTGTCAGCAGCTCTGGAATGTATGGGCCCACAGGCAATGGAAATCAAATTTTCGCCTGTGCCGTTAAAAATTTTAATTCTGCACAAGAAAATCAGAAAAGAAAACGAAACTAAAAAGTTTTAAGAACTAATAAATTTAGTTTAATCAACCCCAAAATTAGGTTAAAAAATAAAACTAACCCCACAGACATAAAAATGGCTAAGTCCATACATCGTTTGAATATTTGGTGGGCTAGGCGCCCAGATCTGATAGAATTCCACCCTGTATGCCCAAGCATCGAATTCCGCCACGGTATTGAATCGTTTAGCGACAAACCAGACCATATGAAATTAAATGGAATGAAATTAAATAAAATTGGGCAAAAGAATAAAAGATAAAATTCTGAAATATCCACAAAATACATAAAATAAAATTAAAATAAATATGATTGTTAATATACTGAATAATTACAAGCTGAAGATGTAAATAACAAGGACGTAGCCAGGGATTTCAGGGGGCTAAAATAGGCTGTGCGCCAAAATTTTGGTGTTTAATTTGACGTTCCGATCGAAAATTTTCTTAAGCAAATGTTTTTATTTTTACAGGCCGCAGGTGGAAATTTTTTTATTTTGCAAGTTTATAGCAAAAATCCTCTCCCTCATCTCCCTGGCTACCCCCTTGGTAAATAATCGAGCCTCTAATTTTAGAAGATATTTTTACGGCAAAACAGGAAAAAAACTAGCTATTTTCTTTTTTCCTCTTTTGAGAGAGAAAAGAATGCAAGAGCCTCGCGCAAAAAAAAAAGTAAGAAAAATTTTAAAAAATGTTTTCTTCTTTATCTTCCTTCATTTCTGCATCCTCCTTACGTTCCTTCTTTTCTCTTCTCTCCTCTTTCCGTTCATCTTTACTCGACACTTTCATCTCCTTTTCTTCTTTCTTTTCACCACTTTCTTCTCTTCTTTCAGTTTTTCTTCCACTTCTTTTATCCTTTTCGCCATTTCTTTCTTCTTTTTCTTTCAAAGCACGGTGCAAGGATTGAAGTAGGGTTTACTGAAATATTTTTTTAATGATTTAATGAATGAAAAATCAAAACCTTCGACGATAATTACCACCAACTGCACGAGATGATCTTCGTGTAAACTGATCTTGAGGAGATGGAGTTCTTCTCTCTGAAGAAATTGAGTACCTCTTTTTGTATTGACGCTAAAAATTAAATCAGAGTTAACATTTCAATTCACAAAAACCTTGTTGTGACTGAATAACCGCATCAGAAGAAGCACTTGACATTGGGGGAAGAGAAGGATATCCACTACAATTTGCCCTGAAGATGCAGCTGCAAGGAAAATCGCTCTAAGCCATTGTTGATTAAAAATTTCCCGATCACTCAATTTCCTCAACATCAATGTGGAAAAGAGGAAGAAGAGAAGTGAAATTACCAATGGACAGCTTTTGTACCAATGATCAGGTTGAGCACAACGATTGCAAACATAAGTCGGCGGAGGAGGTCCAGGCAAGATTCCAATTGCTCGTCTTTGGTAGCTAAATTAAAGCAAAGTAGAAAATAAAAAATAAATGAAACTTTGCAGCGCTGTATTTCTCAGCAGAAACTTGTTTTACATGGGCAATCCTTTGTTCTTCAGTAAGCTTCGAAAAATCATCCTAAAAGAATTAAAATAAAGGGTAAAATTTCCGTCATATGTCCCGGAACCAATTCAGGCAAACAATATGTCACTAGATAGACCCGAGCTGATTGTGAGTCAAACGACATCAAAATGTAGCCCCAGTCTCAACTAATGACCCAAATTTATGTTGTCGGAACCTGTAAAATCACAAGGGGCCAAAGTCGTTTTTAGGGCCCATCGTTTGTCCGAATCCGTTTACGGGACATATGATGGAATCATTAGAGCTTGATGACCAGAGATCAAGCTGGGTCTTGACCAAGGCCTATGTTTTTCCTGCACACCAGAGTTCAGGCCTCGGCATTTTTGACCTTCTTGGGTTTTCTCTGGGCCTGGGTTTTTCCTGAACTACAGGCCCAGGTTCCGGGCCAAGTCAATGAATCAAACACGGAACCCAAGAACAGACCCAGGCTTTGCAAAAACCTCGAACTCCATTAATAACTCCAAAAATTAATTTTAAAACAAACCTGACTAATGTAGGTAATAGACTGAAAACCGCCTCCAGAACGTTGAACAATCCCACTATTTGCTGTATCCCTCAAATAAAAAGATTTTTTCACTTAAAATTCCCTTGAAAAGGCTTACTGGACTTTGGGTAACTTCAAAGCATTATCTCTCGGCAATCTTTGAACTACCACAGAAGAATTTCTTGGGACCAATTCCCCGGTTGTATATTCTCTTTTTGTGTGGTCATTTGCGATTAACAAATCAAAAGACTCTGTTCGAATACTTTCTTTATCGCATATTGCTTCTTCCACGCCTATATGCAGGCCATCAAAAGTTAAAGTTTTGTATTCGAGTGTTGCTTTAAATTTGTAATGAACTGAAAACATCTTTTAAATTAATTTTTCATCTAAAATTAAATCTCTAATAAAATACTCCAACACAATTTCTGGCCCCTAATTAATTTTAAAATTAAATTTTTTAAAAAAAGGAAGAAAGAAAAAAAGAGGGCGGGGTGTATACTATGCCCACAACACGCGGCTGCAAGAAAATTAGGAGTATAATAACACTACCAGGAACCAAAAAAATAATGGAGCCTGAGAAAACCCCCACACGAAAAGCCCAATTGTTGGAAAACCCCAAAAAAATTTGCGTACAAAACAAAATTTTTTAAAAGAAAAACAAGAAAGAAAAACTAATTAAAAACCTAAAACAGCATCTCTCAATAGTCCTTTACACAGAAAGCATTTGTATTGTTCTGGCACCTCCACTTGTTCTTCTGTATAAGGAGAGCCAGTAACTTCCTCAGTTTGCCCAGGAAAGGGTTCCTTCAAATTAAAAATTAATTTTAAACTTTAATCAAAAATAAAACATGTTTTCTTTGAAGCCGTGCTTGGAAGTGCATTATCGACTTGACATATTTTCCAGATGGATGCAACATCGCCAAAGGATCGTCCTTGGTAGTTTCCATCAATTCATACATCGGAATTCCAGTGCACTCCAACACAATTTCTGGCCCTTCATCAATTTTAAAATTAAATTTTTTTTAAAAAAAGAGAGAAAATAAAAAGGTAGTTTTTCAACAAGAATTAAAGTAATAAAATTTAAAAAAAATAAAAGGAAACAACAAAATACTTTTTAAACAAAAGGTAATAAAATCTTGAATAAATTAAATAAATAATTTTCTGAAACTTCATTCAAATTCAATAAATAAATAAATTTCTTCCATAAATTCCAAATAAATTAAAATTCCATTTTTAAACTAAAAAATAGACTTTTATTAAAATAATAAATTTTTTGTTATGGTGAAAACCACAAATTCTGATTTTTGTATTTTTATAAACTAAATTTTCTAAAATAAATTATGCCAAAAAATTTATAATGTAATATTTCGGAAAGAATTAATGTTTCCTAAAATTAATATTGTAAATGTTTTCCCGAATATAAACAAAACATACAACTATTCCTTCCAATATCAACATAATTTTGATTAAATACATGAAATTCAGGTGGAAGATGGAAATGATTTCCAACCCGGTAGACTGTGACTCTCCAGTCGTTGTGGTAGAAGACCTTACATTCCGCCGGGCATTCACGATCCTAATATAAATCAGAGATGGGACGGGTCGGATTGAGATTTTTCATATTTTCTTACATATCAATTTATTTTTAAGTGTATACAAACATTGGCGGACGTGTGGGTATATAAACGCATAGGACCAAAAGAACACCGTGCCTTTATTTTTTGTCTAACTTTCAAATAATTTTGTATTTGTACAGCCTTATGTTCGACTAAAAACTGCCAAAAGGTAAACAACAAATTTTAGCTTTTCTTACAAAACCCACAATTGACGACCCGTCCCACCCCTGATATGAATATATTGTGTCTAATTTAATTGTAGTTTAGTGTACACAATAATTCGTGCACACGCGAAAATGATATTTTTAAAATATTTTTGTCAGCAGCTCTGGAATGTATGGGCCCACAGGCAATGGAAATCAAATTTTCGCCTGTGCCGTTAAAAATTTTAATTCTGCACAAGAAAATCAGAAAAGAAAACGAAACTAAAAAGTTTTAAGAACTAATAAATTTAGTTTAATCAACCCCAAAATTAGGTTAAAAAATAAAACTAACCCCACAGACATAAAAATGGCTAAGTCCATACATCGTTTGAATATTTGGTGGGCTAGGCGCCCAGATCTGATAGAATTCCACCCTGTATGCCCAAGCATCGAATTCCGCCACGGTATTGAATCGTTTAGCGACAAACCAGACCATATGAAATTAAATGGAATGAAATTAAATAAAATTGGGCAAAAGAATAAAAGATAAAATTCTGAAATATCCACAAAATACATAAAATAAAATTAAAATAAATATGATTGTTAATATACTGAATAATTACAAGCTGAAGATGTAAATAACAAGGACGTAGCCAGGGATTTCAGGGGGCTAAAATAGGCTTTGCGCCAAAATTTTGGTGTTTAATTTGACGTTCCGATCGAAAATTTTCTTAAGCAAATGTTTTTATTTTTACAGGCCGCAGGTGGAAATTTTTTTATTTTGCAAGTTTATAGCAAAAATCCTCTCCCTCATCTCCCTGGCTACCCCCTTGGTAAATAATCGAACCTCTAATTTTAGAAGATATTTTTACGGCAAAACAGGAAAAAAACTAGCTATTTTCTTTTTTCCTCTTTTGAGAGAGAAAAGAATGCAAGAGCCTCGCGCAAAAAAAAAAAGTAAGAAAAATTTTAAAAAATGTTTTCTTCTTTATCTTCCTTCATTTCTGCATCCTCCTTACGTTCCTTCTTTTCTCTTCTCTCCTCTTTCCGTTCATCTTTACTCGACACTTTCATCTCCTTTTCTTCTTTCTTTTCACCACTTTCTTCTCTTCTTTCAGTTTTTCTTCCACTTCTTTTATCCTTTTCGCCATTTCTTTCTTCTTTTTCTTTCAAAGCACGGTGCAAGGATTGAAGTAGGGTTTACTGAAATATTTTTTTAATGATTTAATGAATGAAAAATCAAAACCTTCGACGATAATTACCACCAACTGCACGAGATGATCTTCGTGTAAACTGATCTTGAGGAGATGGAGTTCTTCTCTCTGAAGAAATTGAGTACCTCTTTTTGTATTGACGCTAAAAATTAAATCAGAGTTAACATTTCAATTCACAAAAACCTTGTTGTGACTGAATAACCGCATCAGAAGAAGCACTTGACATTGGGGGAAGAGAAGGATATCCACTACAATTTGCCCTGAAGATGCAGCTGCAAGGAAAATCGCTCTAAGCCATTGTTGATTAAAAATTTCCCGATCACTCAATTTCCTCAACATCAATGTGGAAAAGAGGAAGAAGAGAAGTGAAATTACCAATGGACAGCTTTTGTACCAATGATCAGGTTGAGCACAACGATTGCAAACATAAGTCGGCGGAGGAGGTCCAGGCAAGATTCCAATTGCTCGTCTTTGGTAGCTAAATTAAAGCAAAGTAGAAAATAAAAAATAAATGAAACTTTGCAGCGCTGTATTTCTCAGCAGAAACTTGTTTTACATGGGCAATCCTTTGTTCTTCAGTAAGCTTCGAAAAATCATCCTAAAAGAATTAAAATAAAGGGTAAAATTTCCGTCATATGTCCCGGAACCAATTCAGGCAAACAATATGTCACTAGATAGACCCGAGCTGATTGTGAGTCAAACGACATCAAAATGCAGCCCCAGTCTCAACTAATGACCCAAATTTATGTTGTCGGAACCTGTAAAATCACAAGGGGCCAAAGTCGTTTTTAGGGCCCATCGTTTGTCCGAATCCGTTTACGGGACATATGATGGAATCATTAGAGCTTGATGACCAGAGATCAAGCTGGGTCTTGACCAAGGCCTATGTTTTTCCTGCACACCAGAGTTCAGGCCTCGGCATTTTTGACCTTCTTGGGTTTTCTCTGGGCCTGGGTTTTTCCTGAACTACAGGCCCAGGTTCCGGGCCAAGTCAATGAATCAAACACGGAACCCAAGAACAGACCCAGGCTTTGCAAAAACCTCGAACTCCATTAATAACTCCAAAAATTAATTTTAAAACAAACCTGACTAATGTAGGTAATAGACTGAAAACCGCCTCCAGAACGTTGAACAATCCCACTATTTGCTGTATCCCTCAAATAAAAAGATTTTTTCACTTAAAATTCCCTTGAAAAGGCTTACTGGACTTTGGGTAACTTCAAAGCATTATCTCTCGGCAATCTTTGAACTACCACAGAAGAATTTCTTGGGACCAATTCCCCGGTTGTATATTCTCTTTTTGTGTGGTCATTTGCGATTAACAAATCAAAAGACTCTGTTCGAATACTTTCTTTATCGCATATTGCTTCTTCCACGCCTATATGCAGGCCATCAAAAGTTAAAGTTTTGTATTCGAGTGTTGCTTTAAATTTGTAATGAACTGAAAACATCTTTTAAATTAATTTTTCATCTAAAATTAAATCTCTAATAAAATACTCCAACACAATTTCTGGCCCCTAATTAATTTTAAAATTAAATTTTTTAAAAAAAGGAAGAAAGAAAAAAAGAGGGCGGGGTGTATACTATGCCCACAACACGCGGCTGCAAGAAAATTAGGAGTATAATAACACTACCAGGAACCAAAAAAATAATGGAGCCTGAGAAAACCCCCACACGAAAAGCCCAATTGTTGGAAAACCCCAAAAAAATTTGCGTACAAAACAAAATTTTTTAAAAGAAAAACAAGAAAGAAACTAAAAAGTCTATTTAAACTAAAAAATAGACTTTTATTAAAATAATAAATTTTTTGTTATGGTGAAAACCACAAATTCTGATTTTTGTATTTTTATAAACTAAATTTTCTAAAATAAATTATGCCAAAAAATTTATAATGTAATATTTCGGAAAGAATTAATGTTTCCTAAAATTAATATTGTAAATGTTTTCCCGAATATAAACAAAACATACAACTATTCCTTCCAATATCAACATAATTTTGATTAAATACATGAAATTCAGGTGGAAGATGGAAATGATTTCCAACCCGGTAGACTGTGACTCTCCAGTCGTTGTGGTAGAAGACCTTACATTCCGCCGGGCATTCACGATCCTAATATAAATCAGAGATGGGACGGGTCGGATTGAGATTTTTCATATTTTCTTACATATCAATTTATTTTTAAGTGTATACAAACATTGGCGGACGTGTGGGTATATAAACGCATAGGACCAAAAGAACACCGTGCCTTTATTTTTTGTCTAACTTTCAAATAATTTTGTATTTGTACAGCCTTATGTTCGACTAAAAACTGCCAAAAGGTAAACAACAAATTTTAGCTTTTCTTACAAAACCCACAATTGACGACCCGTCCCACCCCTGATATGAATATATTGTGTCTAATTTAATTGTAGTTTAGTGTACACAATAATTCGTGCACACGCGAAAATGATATTTTTAAAATATTTTTGTCAGCAGCTCTGGAATGTATGGGCCCACAGGCAATGGAAATCAAATTTTCGCCTGTGCCGTTAAAAATTTTAATTCTGCACAAGAAAATCAGAAAAGAAAACGAAACTAAAAAGTTTTAAGAACTAATAAATTTAGTTTAATCAACCCCAAAATTAGGTTAAAAAATAAAACTAACCCCACAGACATAAAAATGGCTAAGTCCATACATCGTTTGAATATTTGGTGGGCTAGGCGCCCAGATCTGATAGAATTCCACCCTGTATGCCCAAGCATCGAATTCCGCCACGGTATTGAATCGTTTAGCGACAAACCAGACCATATGAAATTAAATGGAATGAAATTAAATAAAATTGGGCAAAAGAATAAAAGATAAAATTCTGAAATATCCACAAAATACATAAAATAAAATTAAAATAAATATGATTGTTAATATACTGAATAATTACAAGCTGAAGATGTAAATAACAAGGACGTAGCCAGGGATTTCAGGGGGCTAAAATAGGCTTTGCGCCAAAATTTTGGTGTTTAATTTGACGTTCCGATCGAAAATTTTCTTAAGCAAATGTTTTTATTTTTACAGGCCGCAGGTGGAAATTTTTTTATTTTGCAAGTTTATAGCAAAAATCCTCTCCCTCATCTCCCTGGCTACCCCCTTGGTAAATAATCGAACCTCTAATTTTAGAAGATATTTTTACGGCAAAACAGGAAAAAAACTAGCTATTTTCTTTTTTCCTCTTTTGAGAGAGAAAAGAATGCAAGAGCCTCGCGCAAAAAAAAAAAGTAAGAAAAATTTTAAAAAATGTTTTCTTCTTTATCTTCCTTCATTTCTGCATCCTCCTTACGTTCCTTCTTTTCTCTTCTCTCCTCTTTCCGTTCATCTTTACTCGACACTTTCATCTCCTTTTCTTCTTTCTTTTCACCACTTTCTTCTCTTCTTTCAGTTTTTCTTCCACTTCTTTTATCCTTTTCGCCATTTCTTTCTTCTTTTTCTTTCAAAGCACGGTGCAAGGATTGAAGTAGGGTTTACTGAAATATTTTTTTAATGATTTAATGAATGAAAAATCAAAACCTTCGACGATAATTACCACCAACTGCACGAGATGATCTTCGTGTAAACTGATCTTGAGGAGATGGAGTTCTTCTCTCTGAAGAAATTGAGTACCTCTTTTTGTATTGACGCTAAAAATTAAATCAGAGTTAACATTTCAATTCACAAAAACCTTGTTGTGACTGAATAACCGCATCAGAAGAAGCACTTGACATTGGGGGAAGAGAAGGATATCCACTACAATTTGCCCTGAAGATGCAGCTGCAAGGAAAATCGCTCTAAGCCATTGTTGATTAAAAATTTCCCGATCACTCAATTTCCTCAACATCAATGTGGAAAAGAGGAAGAAGAGAAGTGAAATTACCAATGGACAGCTTTTGTACCAATGATCAGGTTGAGCACAACGATTGCAAACATAAGTCGGCGGAGGAGGTCCAGGCAAGATTCCAATTGCTCGTCTTTGGTAGCTAAATTAAAGCAAAGTAGAAAATAAAAAATAAATGAAACTTTGCAGCGCTGTATTTCTCAGCAGAAACTTGTTTTACATGGGCAATCCTTTGTTCTTCAGTAAGCTTCGAAAAATCATCCTAAAAGAATTAAAATAAAGGGTAAAATTTCCGTCATATGTCCCGGAACCAATTCAGGCAAACAATATGTCACTAGATAGACCCGAGCTGATTGTGAGTCAAACGACATCAAAATGCAGCCCCAGTCTCAACTAATGACCCAAATTTATGTTGTCGGAACCTGTAAAATCACAAGGGGCCAAAGTCGTTTTTAGGGCCCATCGTTTGTCCGAATCCGTTTACGGGACATATGATGGAATCATTAGAGCTTGATGACCAGAGATCAAGCTGGGTCTTGACCAAGGCCTATGTTTTTCCTGCACACCAGAGTTCAGGCCTCGGCATTTTTGACCTTCTTGGGTTTTCTCTGGGCCTGGGTTTTTCCTGAACTACAGGCCCAGGTTCCGGGCCAAGTCAATGAATCAAACACGGAACCCAAGAACAGACCCAGGCTTTGCAAAAACCTCGAACTCCATTAATAACTCCAAAAATTAATTTTAAAACAAACCTGACTAATGTAGGTAATAGACTGAAAACCGCCTCCAGAACGTTGAACAATCCCACTATTTGCTGTATCCCTCAAATAAAAAGATTTTTTCACTTAAAATTCCCTTGAAAAGGCTTACTGGACTTTGGGTAACTTCAAAGCATTATCTCTCGGCAATCTTTGAACTACCACAGAAGAATTTCTTGGGACCAATTCCCCGGTTGTATATTCTCTTTTTGTGTGGTCATTTGCGATTAACAAATCAAAAGACTCTGTTCGAATACTTTCTTTATCGCATATTGCTTCTTCCACGCCTATATGCAGGCCATCAAAAGTTAAAGTTTTGTATTCGAGTGTTGCTTTAAATTTGTAATGAACTGAAAACATCTTTTAAATTAATTTTTCATCTAAAATTAAATCTCTAATAAAATACTCCAACACAATTTCTGGCCCCTAATTAATTTTAAAATTAAATTTTTTAAAAAAAGGAAGAAAGAAAAAAAGAGGGCGGGGTGTATACTATGCCCACAACACGCGGCTGCAAGAAAATTAGGAGTATAATAACACTACCAGGAACCAAAAAAATAATGGAGCCTGAGAAAACCCCCACACGAAAAGCCCAATTGTTGGAAAACCCCAAAAAAATTTGCGTACAAAACAAAATTTTTTAAAAGAAAAACAAGAAAGAAAAACTAATTAAAAACCTAAAACAGCATCTCTCAATAGTCCTTTACACAGAAAGCATTTGTATTGTTCTGGCACCTCCACTTGTTCTTCTGTATAAGGAGAGCCAGTAACTTCCTCAGTTTGCCCAGGAAAGGGTTCCTTCAAATTAAAGATTAATTTTAAACTTTAATCAAAAATAAAACATGTTTTCTTTGAAGCCGTGCTTGGAAGTGCATTATCGACTTGACATATTTTCCAGATGGATGCAACATCGCCAAAGGATCGTCCTTGGTAGTTTCCATCAATTCATACATCGGAATTCCAGTGCACTCCAACACAATTTCTGGCCCTTCATCAATTTTAAAATTAAATTTTTTTTAAAAAAAGAGAGAAAATAAAAAGGTAGTTTTTCAACAAGAATTAAAGTAATAAAATTTAAAAAAAATAAAAGGAAACAACAAAATACTTTTTAAACAAAAGGTAATAAAATCTTGAATAAATTAAATAAATAATTTTCTGAAACTTCATTCAAATTCAATAAATAAATAAATTTCTTCCATAAATTCCAAATAAATTAAAATTCCATTTTTAAACTAAAAAATAGACTTTTATTAAAATAATAAATTTTTTGTTATGGTGAAAACCACAAATTCTGATTTTTGTATTTTTATAAACTAAATTTTCTAAAATAAATTATGCCAAAAAATTTATAATGTAATATTTCGGAAAGAATTAATGTTTCCTAAAATTAATATTGTAAATGTTTTCCCGAATATAAACAAAACATACAACTATTCCTTCCAATATCAACATAATTTTGATTAAATACATGAAATTCAGGTGGAAGATGGAAATGATTTCCAACCCGGTAGACTGTGACTCTCCAGTCGTTGTGGTAGAAGACCTTACATTCCGCCGGGCATTCACGATCCTAATATAAATCAGAGATGGGACGGGTCGGATTGAGATTTTTCATATTTTCTTACATATCAATTTATTTTTAAGTGTATACAAACATTGGCGGACGTGTGGGTATATAAACGCATAGGACCAAAAGAACACCGTGCCTTTATTTTTTGTCTAACTTTCAAATAATTTTGTATTTGTACAGCCTTATGTTCGACTAAAAACTGCCAAAAGGTAAACAACAAATTTTAGCTTTTCTTACAAAACCCACAATTGACGACCCGTCCCACCCCTGATATGAATATATTGTGTCTAATTTAATTGTAGTTTAGTGTACACAATAATTCGTGCACACGCGAAAATGATATTTTTAAAATATTTTTGTCAGCAGCTCTGGAATGTATGGGCCCACAGGCAATGGAAATCAAATTTTCGCCTGTGCCGTTAAAAATTTTAATTCTGCACAAGAAAATCAGAAAAGAAAACGAAACTAAAAAGTTTTAAGAACTAATAAATTTAGTTTAATCAACCCCAAAATTAGGTTAAAAAATAAAACTAACCCCACAGACATAAAAATGGCTAAGTCCATACATCGTTTGAATATTTGGTGGGCTAGGCGCCCAGATCTGATAGAATTCCACCCTGTATGCCCAAGCATCGAATTCCGCCACGGTATTGAATCGTTTAGCGACAAACCAGACCATATGAAATTAAATGGAATGAAATTAAATAAAATTGGGCAAAAGAATAAAAGATAAAATTCTGAAATATCCACAAAATACATAAAATAAAATTAAAATAAATATGATTGTTAATATACTGAATAATTACAAGCTGAAGATGTAAATAACAAGGACGTAGCCAGGGATTTCAGGGGGCTAAAATAGGCTTTGCGCCAAAATTTTGGTGTTTAATTTGACGTTCCGATCGAAAATTTTCTTAAGCAAATGTTTTTATTTTTACAGGCCGCAGGTGGAAATTTTTTTATTTTGCAAGTTTATAGCAAAAATCCTCTCCCTCATCTCCCTGGCTACCCCCTTGGTAAATAATCGAGCCTCTAATTTTAGAAGATATTTTTACGGCAAAACAGGAAAAAAACTAGCTATTTTCTTTTTTCCTCTTTTGAGAGAGAAAAGAATGCAAGAGCCTCGCGCAAAAAAAAAAGTAAGAAAAATTTTAAAAAATGTTTTCTTCTTTATCTTCCTTCATTTCTGCATCCTCCTTACGTTCCTTCTTTTCTCTTCTCTCCTCTTTCCGTTCATCTTTACTCGACACTTTCATCTCCTTTTCTTCTTTCTTTTCACCACTTTCTTCTCTTCTTTCAGTTTTTCTTCCACTTCTTTTATCCTTTTCGCCATTTCTTTCTTCTTTTTCTTTCAAAGCACGGTGCAAGGATTGAAGTAGGGTTTACTGAAATATTTTTTGAATGATTTAATGAATGAAAAATCAAAACCTTCGTCGATAATTACCACCAACTGCTCGAGATGATCTTCGAGAAAACTCATTTTGAGGAGATGGGGTTCTTCTTTCAGGAGAAATTGAGTACCTCCTCTTGTATTGACGCTAAAAATTAAATCAGAGTTAACAATTCAATTAATTCATAAAAAATACATTTTGTTGTTGACTGTCCTTAATACGGAAGAAAGAAAGCCAAACTTGTGTTATTTCACTGTCAGGTACATGAGGGCCAAAAGGTCGAAAGTTGTTGACTGATATAGAATGTTTGATGCAAGTGGAGGATTTAACGGCCTTACACCACCAACATTCGCCAACAAATTTGAAGAGATTGAAGTTCCAATAATGCTTGAATGGTCTTGTCCAATTCCAGGAGGCTTAAAAGAGAAAATAAAAAAAATCCTCAAAATTCCTTACAACTAATCCAGTAGTAACAGGAGTAACTGAACCAGGCGGTCGCTTTTCCGTGTTTATACCTTCATCCGTTTGTCTTTGTTGTGACTGAATAACTGCATCAGAAGAAGCACTTGACAAAGGGGAAGAGAAGGATATCCACTACCACTTTGCCCTGAAGAAGACATGATTCCAATTGCTCGTCTTTGGTAGCTGAATAAAAGCAAAAAATAAAAATAAATGAATAAAAATGAAACTTTGCAGCGCTGTATTTTTCCGCAGAAACTTGTTTTACATGGGCAATCCTCTGTGCTTCAGTAAGCTTCGAAAAATCATCCTAAAAATTATAATGGGCAAAATTCCGTTACATGTCCCGGAACCAATTAAGACAAACAATAAGCATTCGAAGGAATCAACGAGCTAAGTCAAGCGACATAAAAATACAGCTCAGGTAGCAATTATGGATCGAGACATAAGTTGCTGAAATCTGAAAAACTACAACGGGGCCAAGGTCATTTCTGGGGCCTATTGTTTGTCCGAATCGGTCTACGGGGCACATGATGGAATTTTTAAAGTTTGAAGACTTCAAAAATAAATTTAATCAAACCGGACTAATGCCGTGACTAGAGATCGAGCTAGGCCTGGACCAAGGTCTGGGTTTTTCTTGTACCCAGAGTTCCGGGCTAGACATTTTTTGGCCTTCCTGGGTTTTTCGTTGGACTTAGTCTTTCCTGAACTACAGGCCCAAAATCCGATCCAGGTCAACAAATCAAACCCGGAACCCCGTACAAGCCCAGGCTTTTCAAAAATCTCGATCCACATTAATGACTTCCTAAAATTAATTTTTAAACAAACCGGACTAATGTAGGTAGTAAACTGAAAAATGCCTGAAGGACGTTGAACAATCCCGCTATTTGCTGTATCCCTCAAATAAAAAGATTTTTTCACTTAAAAATTCCCTTGAAAAGCTTACTGGACTTTGGGTAATTTCAAGGCATTATCTCTCGGCAATCTTTGAACTACAAGGTTGAGCACAACGATTGCAAACATAAGTCGGTGAAGGAGGTCCAGGCAAGATTCCAATTGCTCGTCTTTGGTAGCTAAATTAAAGCAAAGTAGAGAATCAAAAATAAATGAAACTTTGCAGCGCTGTATTTCTCAGCAGAAACTTGTTTTACATGGGCAATCCTTTGTTCTTCAGTAAGCTTCGAAAAATCATCCTAAAAGAATTAAAATAAAGGGTAAAATTTCCGTCATATGTCCCGGAACCAATTCAGGCAAACAATATGTCACTAGATAGACCCGAGCTGATTGTGAGTCAAACGACATCAAAATGCAGCCCCAGTCTCAACTAATGACCCAAATTTATGTTGTCGGAACCTGTAAAATCACAAGGGGCCAAAGTCGTTTTTAGGGCCCATCGTTTGTCCGAATCCGTTTACGGGACATATGATGGAATCATTAGAGCTTGATGACCAGAGATCAAGCTGGGTCTTGACCAAGGCCTATGTTTTTCCTGCACACCAGAGTTCAGGCCTCGGCATTTTTGACCTTCTTGGGTTTTCTCTGGGCCTGGGTTTTTCCTGAACTACAGGCCCAGGTTCCGGGCCAAGTCAATGAATCAAACACGGAACCCAAGAACAGACCCAGGCTTTGCAAAAACCTCGAACTCCATTAATAACTCCAAAAATTAATTTTAAAACAAACCTGACTAATGTAGGTAATAGACTGAAAACCGCCTCCAGAACGTTGAACAATCCCACTATTTGCTGTATCCCTCAAATAAAAAGATTTTTTCACTTAAAATTCCCTTGAAAAGGCTTACTGGACTTTGGGCAATTTCAAAGCATTATCTCTCGGCAATCTTTGAACTACCACAGAAGAATTTCTTGGGACCAATTCCCCCGTCGTATATTCTCTTTTTGTGTGGGCATTTGTGATTAACAAATCACAAGATTCTGTTCGAATGTTTTCTTTATCGCATATTGCTTCTTCCACGCCTATATGCAGGCCATCAAAAGTTAAAGTTTTGTATTCTATTAATTTTAAAATTAAGTTTTTTAAACAATGGAAGAAAGAAAAAACAGGGTGGGGCTTATGGGGGGAAAACTACACAAGTCCAAAAAATGCCTCAGACTATTGAGGGGTGACGATAAAATAATCTCCAATACACTAAAACCCCGAAAATTTAATCAAAAAAATCTCAAGAAAATTTTCCTAGCAAGAAAAAATCAAATTTGTTGCAAATAAATGGTACTTCAATTCTAGAAAATTTCCAAGTGTGAAAATAGTATAGTAATATAAGAGAGACATTATAGAAGCAGAGAAATTTTTATTTCCGCCATTATTCTAGAACATTCTGGGAACATTTGAGTCCTGACTATTGAACCCTGAGCCATATTTTGGGTCATAACTTCGTGGGTTTTTGACAAATTCGCGTAAAACTTATATCAATCGAAAGCCCAGAGTATGAGGATTATTTTTGCCAACAGCATTAATTTGATCAGATTATTCTGCAGAAAGTTATACTTAGATAAGTGCGCGCAATCGTGATTATTGATACTTTTTCGGCCGTAACATTTCGTATAATGATCTGATCAGATCAATCCTGTTAGATGAAATAATCCTTAGATAAAGAGCTTTCGATTGATATTTAAATTATCTAAATCCATTAATAATTAAAAAAGTTATGGCCCAAAATATGGCTCAGGGTTGAACAGTCAGGACTCAACTGGAACTTATCGATTTTAAACAAGAGAAATAGTGTAGTGAATATAAGAGAATTAGTTAATCAGACAGTTTACTTTTAATTCAGCCATTTTGGTGCCCGTTTCGGAGCGGCTTTTCTTTGGCTTCTTTTGCTTTTGCTTTCGATTTTTTTCTAAAATTTTTTTTCAAACACTTTTGACTTTTAGGATTTTAGATAGATAAGAGCTTTAGCTGTTTAAATGCAACGAAGTATTGGTGTCTGCTTTTGTTGGTCAGATTTGGAGAAGAGGCGTAAAGCTATTGACCTCTATGTTCAGCGCCAATTGGAAGTTGTTGATGGAATTCCTAAAAAGGTTTTTTCTTCGATTTTTAATTTTTAATTATTTTTAAAAGGTATTTTATGAATGTGGTGCGACTCCAACAAATTGCAAATATAACGTTACTGCTGTAAGAAATGAGGCTACTGGGCATTTTGAATTATTTGAGATGGGCGAACATTCTCATCCGATCCGTGCAAATATTTCTAGTGGTTTGTTTGTGTTTCTTTTATTAAATTGGGCTAGGATTCTAGGCGTTTTTTTGACTGCAAAAATGTATTCGGCAATTTTATTTCCGAGGGAAGGGGCGCTTTAATTTTGACCATCAAATTTTCGGCTTTCCAATTTCTAACCCAATGGATCTGCTTTCCATAGGAAATACAAATCCTTCCGAACCCTCAACTGAGGAGACACGAAAAGTGGAATACTTTTAGAATCATCTGTTTGCCGGATATGTTTAAGCGCCGGTCTTGCAAACTTTTTTGTCTCTTAATGAAATACGGTGAAATATGTTGGGTCATTCTCTAGCACTCGATAGTTGATATTTTATCTCGGTCCTATAGTCTTAAAAATCTTTTTTTAGGTATTCTTGTCGATCAAACCAATCCAATTTGTCCACAGCCACTTACTCAAAATGTAATTTCTACAATTAATTCTACCGAACCCTCAACTGAGGAACCACAAAAAGTTGGAACTAAAGGTTTTTTCTAATTGTAATTAAATCAGAAATATTTTTTTCATTTTGGAAGAAAAACCAACAACAAAGGAACCAAAGAAGGAAAAACAAGTTGCAGCAACTTCTAAGCGTAAATCTTCGCCTAAACCGAAGAGGTCTATGCCACCCAAGAAACTTGCAAAGTTGACGGAAGATGACACTAAAAGGCGTGATTCATCAAGTGAAAGCATCAAATCAGAAATGAGTAAATTTTTTTAATTTTAAATAAATTAATAAATTATGTTCATTTAAAGCTTCAACAACCAACAGTTCTAGTATTGGATGGAATTCAAAACGTAAGATGCTTCCGCGTGCTGCAAAGATGAACATTATTAATTCTGAAAAGCGGACATCATTAAATGTATAATTTTATAATTTTTGTGGGCATTTCTAGGAGATGATTTTTAACCCATCTTGTTGAAAATTTTGTTTTTACGAGTTCTCCTTTTCCTTCATAATATCTAGAGATAGGAAATTTAAAGATAACCTTGTTTCTTGTGAGAAGCTCGATCAGATTCTTTACCTTGTTTCAAGGAAAAATCGAGTAACATTGAAAACAGTTTTGGGAAATTTTTTTAAATTATGCAAGGAAGAAATGACTAACCATTCCGTACAAAAAGTAAGAAGCGAACTGGGGTTGGGTGGGGCTAGGAATTGAGTACCCAGCCTTGATCTTTATTAATTTCTTCCCAGCTGCAATTTTACAAAAAATATTATGTTTCTAAAATTTTCAGCTTCTCATGTCGCCATGTGAACCTATGACAAGATCGCGTGCTCGAACTTTATTGGATAAAAGTAATTCTGCTAAACCTGTGGTATATTTTAATTTTGTAATTTTTTTTATCAAATCATTTTTATTAAGCATGTTCCCAAAAAAATTTTGTCGGTTCCCAAACTTTCTGTTGAGAACAAATCAAAGTCTGCATTAAATAGAGGAATGAAGCGTTGTGTGGTCTATTCATCTTCCTCCTCTTCTGAAAAAAGTCTTCCTAAAAATGAGCCAGAAGTGGATGTTCTTAGTTCTTCCTCGGAAGATTCAACTGTATGTGATTTCTTTAAATTATTTTTCTTCAGCTTTTCTGCATTTAAGGCAGATGTTTGTGACTAACTTAGGATATAAGCGATCGAACAAACGCCGTTTTTTAGTAAATATTTAGGGTTGGGGTCATAAGGGCGCGGCCGAAAGGGCGGGGCCATGTATAAGGGCGCCCCAAAAGGCGCGGTGTCATTTGGGCGCCCATTTTTTGTTTTTTGTTCTTGAAAATTTTTTTGTCTTGTATTAATTTAGTTTACCGGTACTTTATGGATATGTCACCCCCCCTCCTATTTTGAGTCTCAGAGTTTTCCTTAAACGTAGAAAATGGTCAGAGATTATTTTCTTCTCCATGGCAATCATTTTTCTTTTTTCAAGCAAAATAAGTGAAATGTGGTAAATGTAGAAACGAAATAAGTGAAATTTAAGTACAAAATATGTAAAAAGGCAAAATAAACAAGCAAAATACTTGAAGAAGAAAAAATGATTGCCATGGAGAAGAAAATAATCTCTGACCATTTTTTACGTTTAAGGAAAACTCTGAGACTCAAAATAGGAGGGGGGTGACATATCCATAAAGTACCAGTTTACCCTCTAAAATATTTCCTTTAAGTATTTTTCAAATTTAAATCCCCAGTTTTCTGTTTAATTTTTCAGTCTAATTTCACGGCCAAAAATGATTTTCCATCATCTTTTCGTTCAAAAAAGTGTGGAATTCTTTGGAATCGAATTGCTACAGTTTTTGGTGATGATGCGTTAACGAAATTTCAACAAATTAATCATATGCGTTCCTACAAACGTTTAATTTGGAAGTGTAATTTGGAGCCACGAAGCAATGAATATCGAAATAATTGTCAATATATGTAATTTTTTTAGTTTTTAATGAAATTTGTTATTAAATTTCGATCAAATTACCTTGGGACTAGGGTTTATGCTTGTCAAAAATCTACAATTATCTAAATTCGGAAAAATCGAAATCTGACGATTTAAAATAAAAAAGACTAAAAATCCCTGTCTTCGCCAGCTCACAAGACGGATAGTACAAAAATTTGCTAATTTTTTGGTAGCAATCGACTTTTTAATAGAAAGTCGATGGCTCTCTATCGTTTGGTACCAAAAAAATTACCAAATTTCTTTATAAGTACCTGATGTTTCCTTGTCAGATTGGGATGGGAGAATTTGATTTCTTGATTATCCCTTCTTGCTTAAAACTTTTTTGATTTTAGGTTCCATTTTCCTATTAACACTTCACAAGAAATTTTCGAAATTTTATTTTAGGATGCGCGTTCTTCCTAAAAAGGATAAAAATTCGAATTTGTATTATGTCTACTTTTCTGGCGTTCACAATCCTTCTTGTAAAAAATTTCAAAATGAAGATCCTAAAATTAGAGATTTAAAGAAAAGTGTCAGTATCAATTTTTTAGAGATTAATGAAGATAAAGAACAAATTCAAGTCCATTCAAAACGTCAGGCTGCAATTACCGCTTCGAGGAAAATTTCTGGTTTTTTTAAATTAAATTATAAATAATTTTGAAATTTTTCAAGGTCAAAGTGAAAATACTAAAAGGCGAACAATAAAGACACGTTCTTTAATTGAATTGGATTGTACGAGTTCTGAAGATTCTGAGGTTTAAAAAATATTTTTTTAGGCAATTTTTCTTATTTATTTTAGAATGCTAGTAAAAATTCTGAAAAGTCAAAAGAAGCTTCGATTGAATCGGATGATGAACCAGCAGCTATTTTTATTCAACACACCTTCAATAAACCTCCAACAGAAAATAACTCTAATAATAAGAAGACAGTTTCTATTTCTGATCATCATGAAAAACACAAAAGGGATGGAAATTTGGTATTTCAATCGCCAACGTCTAATGATTTAAATGGTTTGAATATTTTTTTTAATTTTTAGGAGTATTTTTTTTCCTTTTCCTTGGTTTCTGATAACTCAATAAGTTGTGAACCAATTGGCTTAAATTAGGATTTTTTATAATATTGTTAGAATATTGGTCTCGATTCATTGATTTATCGGGCAAATGCCCCAAATAAATATTGGGTGCAAAGAACTTTTTAGGTTAAGATTAGTTCTAGATATTTGAGAGAAATAGAGCAAGATTGGAATGAAAAAGCTTAAGTGCTTATTAGCTGTTATGGACTAACATTTAGCTTGATTCATGGTTTAGGGGAATTGATTTCATGTCAAACTGCTCTAATATAAATTGTAGGGTCAAATAACTTTTTAGGTCAAGATCAGAGGTCGGTCGGAATTCTGATTTCCGACGTTTTTTCGTTTCGTTTTCCTTGTTCCGACTCTTGAGCAATTTCTGATTTCCGATACCTTCGTCATCTCCGACCGATCCCTGGTCAAGATTAATTTTAAATGTTCGATAGACATAAATTGGAATTGAAAAAAAATAAATTTATGTGGCCTTCTCTTTTAAATTAATCACAAAAAAATTTATTATTAAAAAATTTTTTTTTCAGAAACATTTCCTCAATTAATTCCTCCAACTTTAATTTCTTCTTCTACTCCAATTAACAGCAACAATAAACAAAATTTAAATTTGTCTTCATCAAATATTCGTTTAAATCCAGCTCCAATAATTACTTTAACTCCTTCAGAAACTCCACGTAGAAGTTTGGAAAATGCTGAAGAATCTACAGCAACTTTAATTATGTTGGATAATTCTCCAAAAATGGATTTACCTAGAGATTGGAAATTTAAATTGGAAAGTGTTTTTGTACAAATGAATCAGTTGGCTGAAGATCTTCATTTAAAATTTACATGCAAAGGGTTTTCTTTTGAAATTTTTAGGATAAACATTTTAAATTTATTTTTTAGTTTAAATTTGGGAGTATTTTCGTCAAATGAACAAAGCCAAACTGGACAGGTGCTTGTTTTAAACGATCAAATAGAAGACGATGTTTTTGTTAAAGTTTCGGAATTTGGCGATTGGAAATTAATTTGTGAAGAAATGTGGCCGAAAGTAATTTTAATTTTGTTAGGATTAATTGAAATGATTCAGACATTTGGGGACAAAAATGATTATTATCGAGTCCCTTGTCTGTCTTTTCTGAGTTCCCACTTTTGTGATGGAAAGTTGATGAGGAATGGGAGAGATTGGATGTTATTTTTTGACTTTTATGTGTACGTAGCGCTTAACTATGGTTATTTGTGCTTCCAAATATCCCTCTATCCCACGCGACTCTTGTATACTAGAAATCTAGCCGACATAAAAATTAAATTCCCGATTTTGGGAATCGGAAACTACTCAACTTTTCAAATCATTCTTTTTATAGGCAGGTGTTCGTCAGTTTTTATATGCTGTCCGTGGAAAGCTTATTGAATTTTTCTTTGTCATTCCTAGTTCACCAACTGGAGGGAGTGAAATAAATACAAATGATGGAAAATCTTTGGTTATTTTTATTTTTAAAAATTTTATTTTTAATTTTGTTTGAAGGTTAGCGAAATTAATTCTGAAGGAACTACAACAGCAACTTCGTCTTCTGTCCAATTTAAACGTGAAAATACTGAAGATCTCTCAACTGTTGTTTTTTTTGAAGGAGACTTTGTTGGTAAAGATAAAGAAGGAAATTTAGAAATTTCTGTTCAGGTAAATATTCAGGTATTTTTAATTATTTAATTTAATTATTTTTGGATTGCACCAGGGATCGCGCCAACAGAAAAGCAAATTTCCGGGAATTCACTATTTTCAGTGAATCGGGCCGGCGCGTTCCCTGGTTGCACAAAATTTGCATTAATACAAAAAATTTTTTGCAAAAATTTTTTTGGTTTTTATGAAAATCTAGAAGCTGAGATAACGTTAGAGAGATTATCAGAAAAAATTCAGCCAATCTAACATTTAAAGTTCAGGGAATTCTTAAGCTTTAGGAAAAAGACAAACTCCAAAACTCCAAAAATTTGGAATAACCTAAAACCAGGACAACTTTTTATATTTGACTCACCCTTTTTGTATTTATTTAAAATGACAAGACGTCGAAAGCTTTGGTTTGGTTGGCCCGGGGAACTAATACTAAATTTTGTCTTTCCTCTATTTTCTTTAAAAGACGAGTCGTTCGCGTTCATACGTCAACAAAATTCGGCCTTAGGGTGTCGTATTTATTTTCAAGATTCCACTTTAATTACAAAAGGTGTTAGGGGTGGATCAAATATAAAAAACAAATTTTTCTAAAATTTAATATTTATAATTTTAGCGTATTAATCAAAAAAATGTTGATGAGAATATCTCAGTGCCTTCAGAATAAATTATTGTGCAATTCTGATATTTTGCAATAAATTAAAGGAAAGAAAGGGAGAGGGTAATTAAAGTTCAGGGAATTTTTTTTAAATTTTAATTTAAATACCAAAAATTAATTTGGGCTTTCAATTGATATTTTTCTTTGTATTTTTCTCCTATCTAATACTTTATTTTTTGTCCTATATTTTTGCCCTTTTAATTTATTTTTAAATAAAAGTTTGTAGTTAATTACTGTGTCTATTTTTTGGAAAAATAATTTTCAGTTATGATATTAGGAACTGGGCATGGTATAGCTCCGAGAGTCAACTCCGGAAATAGCTCCTTCTAGAACCGAGGCTAGGATTTTAAAATGCCCGGAGTCGGTTTGATAAAGGTCGGAACTTAAGTCACGGAATGTCTCATATCCACTGATTATGGGTAAATTTTAGTTATCGATTGAATCCATTTTTAGTTATCCACTCGATGCTTAAAAACCGTTTTTATAACGGTTTTTAATAATTGGAGATATCTCTTTGGAGACTATCAAATTAAAGAAAAATTTATTTTAAATTGTGGAGTATCCAGTACATATTGGGTGTATCCAAAAATAATTATTATAAAGACTTCTAATGGAGGTTGCCTGAGATATCCTTGGGACTTCGAGATGAAATTTGGTAGACAGATAGATCATACCCTTCTTTAGTTGTGAAATTTGCACTATTTTCGCTGCGGGGTACCGTGGACCGAGTTATAAGCCCCCAAAGTTTTAGTTAAAGAGGTTTAATAAACAATAACTTAAAAAATTTTTTTCAATTAAAAAAATTTTATTTTAAATTAATTCAAATATAAAATAATGTTTGTTTATCAATAAAAAAATTAAAAATCTAATTAATCTTAAATTTTAATGTTAATGTCTTTTTATTTACTGGCCTTGAACATTTTAATGTTAACAAATAAAATCACGTCTTTTATTTGTTAAATAAATTTAACGCGGAAATATTAATTTTTTATTCACCCTATTTTTAAAATTTTAATAAGTAACACTTATTCATCTAATAATTTAGGAATTATTTTAAAAAATAATTTTTAGAAAATGTTACAAATAAATTCACAATTCCTTCTTTTACATTTTAATTTTATTTTGCCAATTATTATTGCAATAATTGGAATATTTGGCAATTTATTAGTCCTTTTAACTATTTTAAGATCAACAAGTCTTCGAAAAGTAAAATTTTTTAAATGATTTTTGAGGTCTGGTCAGAGTTAAGGATTTTCTGTTGGAGTTATAGGGGGAGTACAACTCCACAGTTGTGTCTGTAGAAGTTGTATTTGTAATTATTTGACTCTCTTGTTGGTGTCCGCACTTTCTCCCTCGGATATATCTACCTCTCAAAAATATCAATCCCTTCAAAACGGGAGCAGGCCAGTGTAACTTTGTTTAAAATTGCCGAATCTGGCGCCCTGGTATGGTTCGATTCAGCTGGTCGAGCCGCAACGAACCATACCAGGGCGCCACGGATAGTATGACAATTTTGAACAAAGTTATAGCTCGGCAGTACATTGGGGTGTATCCATATTGGTGTGTATCCAGGATTGTACGACACTTGCGGACCGACTTTTGCGGACCGACCTTTACGGACGGACATTTGCGGATTGCGGATAGACATTTGCGTATCGGACATTTGCGGACCGACTTTTGCGGATTGCGGACCGACCTTTACGGACGGACATTTGCGGACCGTTTTTGGGAAAAAATCTAAACAATTAATTTCAATTTTCAAAAACGAAAAATAAATATTTAAGTTTATTTTAATATCTTTTTGATGGGCAACTTCTTTATCAAAATGGTCAACGTAAACCTATGGAGAAAAACCCCGCGCTTCGCGCGGGGTTTTGCGGCACGCGCCTCGCGGGGAGTCAACGGCCGCTGGGTTCTGGGCTCGTAACTTAATCCTATTACTATCATCGATGACATGTTCATGCCCGGCTTCCCCCGCAGCAGTAAAAACTCCAGGGATGCAATAGGTAAGGAGCTAAAATAAACGGTCATAACTTTGTCTAGCTTGTTAGATCAAATTGCACATCGAAAAGATATTAAAATAAACTCAAATATTTTTTTTCGTTTTTAAAAATTAAATTTAATTTTTTTTAATTTTTTCCCAAAAACGGTCCGCAAATGTCCGATCCGCAAAAGTCGGTTCGCAATCCGCAAATGTCGTCCGCAAATGTCCGATCCGCAAATGTCTATCCGCAATCCGCAAATGTCCGTCCGCAAAGGTCGGTCCGCAAAAGTCTGTCCGCAAGTGTCGCACTACGGTATCCAGTACATTGGGGTGTATGTATTATTAAAATTGGCAAATTCACACGTTCTGATTGAAAGTTTCGGAGTCAGACGCGTTCGGAGTCAGGGCTAGATGCAACTGAAAAATCTTCCGCAGCCGCAATTTTAATTTTAATATCAGCAGCCGAAGTCCGCAGTTTGCAATCCGCAGTTGCGTTCAGGGTATCACGACTTTTGCGCCGAGAACATTTGCGCCGCGACTTTTGCGCCGCGACTTATGCGCCGGGCGACTTTTGCGCCGCGACTTATGCGCCGCGACTTATGCGCCGGGCGACTTGTGCGCCGCGACTTTTGCGCCGGGCGACTTATGCGCCGCGACATTTGCGCCGCGACTTTTGCGCCGCGACTTATGCGCCGGGCGACTTTTGCGCCGCGACTTATGCGCCGCGACATTTGCGCCGCCATAATTAAAAAAAATAATATCTATACAGTCGGACCTAATTATAGTGTGCTCCTTAAAAAATGGTATCCAGGATCTGAAGGAATTTCAGGAAGTACAATATTTCAGGAAGTACCATAGCCCCCTCTAATAAACCGACCCCCTAGAGGAAGGTTGAAAAATAAACCGACCCCCAAGAGGGTTCATCTTCAAAAAACTTGACTTTTTCGGATCAGGATATTTGGTCTGCTACCCCTATTCAGGCATGATTTTCTGCCAGAAGAGGGTGCACTATAGTGTAGGGTTGTCGGGTCCAGATATCCGGATCTGAAAAAGGCCGGATAGCCGAATCCGGCCTTTCTATAGTGAGGTCCGGCTTTAGTTTTTCATAATTATTAATGATAGTGGCGGCGCAAAAGTCGTCCGGCGCATAAGTCGCGGCGCAAAAGTCCCCCGGCGCAAAAGTCGCTCGGCGCAAAAGTCGCGGCGCAAAATTCGCGGCGCAAAAGTCGCGGCGCAAATGTTCACGGCGCAAAAGTCACGGAACCGCGTTCAGCCCTGATCGAGGTCTAACCCAAGTTTAAGTACAAAATGAATTTAATTTGCTTCGTCTGTGTCGTCTTAATTTCTCAAAATCTACTCAATTCTTAACGGCCGTATCTGCTGATATCCAAATATTTTTCTTGACACCCATATCCACTGATATTCAAATATTATCCCTGACCAGATCTGCTTATTCAAATAAAAATAAATTTAAAAGAAATTTTTCAAAGAATACTTTATTTAATTATTTAATTGTTTTGCTTGGTTCCAACTCTTTATTACTTACAAGTGTGGTTATTGGACGTTTTCCTCAAATAAGAAATATTGGCTATTTTGTTTGTTTTGTTAAAGATTATTCTTGGAATTTCCCAATTTATGTTAGTAATTTAACTGTTACTTTTGTGGCTATTGAACAATGTTTGGTTATTTTTTGGCCTGAACGAATGCTTAAGGTATAAAATAAAATGGAGGGCGGGGGGGGGGGGGTTGATGATTGGTTTTAAACTAGAAAAATTTTATTTTTTTTTGATAAAAAAACGTTAACATAGATTTAAGCTTCGCCTTTGACAAATCTAGCCGATGAGAAAATTTAAAAAACAAGCAAGTTTATTTTAAATCCCAGGAAATATTCGGATCTTCGGATCCGTAACCGATATCTGAACCAGGGATCGCGCCGACCCGATTCACGAAAATCGTGAATTCGAAATTTTCGTGAATTCACGATTCCCGAAAATCGCTAATTTGATTTTTTGTTGGCGCGATCCATAGTCCATACGGCTGAACCGAAAATCCCTAAATATCTTGACTTTTCCGGATGCGGAACCCCCCTACCCGTCAATATAACAAACTTAGCTAGTTAAAAATATTTCGAATCGATGTGAATTTTCTTGATCCTCGACTTTTATTGCTAGTTATACATACATATGCCTTGTGGTATTTTAAACAGTAGGAGAGCTGGTCAAAGTGTACTTGAAATAAAATTTTTTTCTCAAAAATCGACGATGTATTTGATACAAAACTAAAAACTGTCTTAAACAACTCCTTTTTTAAAATAAAAAAATGAAAATAAATTAATTTACTTTTTCCAGTTTTCCCGTTCTACTCGTTTAATTCCAATTTTATTAATTTTATTATTTTCATTAATTATTAATTTTAATTTATTTTTTGTGTTGGAATATAAAAATAATAAAAATAATTTAACAACAAAAATTTCAACAAATAAATGTATTTATAATAATCATTTACCTTTTGCTAAGGTAAAAAATTTTTGGGAAAAATTAAAAAAAATTAATTTTTTAAAAAGCCCTTTTTCCTTCTCCCACGAATTATTTTAACTTTTTTAATTCCGTTAATTGTTGTTTTGAGTTGTAATTTTGCAATTATTATGAAAATGAGAAAATTAAATATTTCTGGAGTTAATGAAGGTGAGGAAATAAAATTATTATTTTTTTTGGATTTAATTTTGATTAGAAAATTTTTTTTCCGTAGGAAGAAATATTTTTTCGGTAATTTCCTTAAAAGCGTTCATTTCCAATTTTTTACAAATACACGAGGCTTTTTTGTGATATCCGATTTTTTATATGATTGTTGCGGATATAAAAATTAAAAAAAAAATTTAAGTTTTTCCAGAAACTATGTCAGTATTAGCTGACATTTCACCCAACATCCAACACTTCAAAACAAGCTGTCACTTAAAAAAATTATTAAAATTAATATCCGCAATTTTCATAACAGTGGACTAGTGGAACCTCTCAAACACCTCACCTTTCGGGGCAGATTTTTTTATTTTTTTCACTTCTCGGGGGGGGGGGGGGGGGCAGAACTCAGTTTTCCAAAACCTAATTTTAGAGAAACTAAATATGTCTTAGAAAATACCGTAAATTCTCTAAAATAGCCCCCCCCCTCTCTAAAATAAGCCCCCTCTAGAGGTCAATCGAAAAAAAGCGGATACAGAAAAAAATCTGATCAAGGCCATTTGAGACATGAGAAAATTTTTAATATTTAAATTAAAAATTTATTTTTCAAGCAAAACCCACCAAAAGAGAAAATGGAAACAAAATTTTATTTATTTTAATTCCCTTCTTTTATGTTCTACTAAATTTACCTTATAATTTAAATTTGACTTTAATTAATTTTTGGAATGAAAATTTTGGTTCTTTAACTATTAATTTAATTGTTTTGTGGATATTTTTCTTAAATTATGCTATTGACTTTGTTATTTATCCGTTGGCTAGGTTATTGGGTTTTTAAAAAAATTATGAGAAAAATATTATTTTTTAAAGTCTACATTTCCGCAATTCTTTCTACCGTATTTGGATCCAGCCAATATTTTCTAAAAAGCCTTCAAGAATTGTCTCGGGAATTTCTGAGGAATCTGTGAATACAAAAATATGAAAAAATTTAATTATTTTAATTCAATTCAATTTATTACGTCATGTTTGACGCGCGATCAAAAAAAATACAGAATATGTGGTCAATAATATATAAATTATAATACAAATGATCTGATATAAATAAATAGTTCAACTATTCTTTAATTAAGTTTTAAGGGAGGTTATGTGTGAAAACAAATCAAAATTATCCAATAGTTTTTTAAAATTAATGGGAGTATTTTTGCGTATTTCTATCGGTAATGTAGAGTAAAGTCTAGCGGTTCTGATAAAAAAGGAGTTATATCTAATTGTGGTTGCGCAAGCTTGTGTTTTTAATTTAAATTCTTCCCCACGTGTTTTAGTGTTGATGAAATAGAAAGATGAATTATGTTCTACTTTTATATTTCCCCAAATAATTTTATGAAAGAGAATTAGATCAATTTTATATCTCCTAATTTCTAAGGTTTCGACTTTAAAAATTTTCAGTAGGTTAGAGTATTTTGGAATATTAGAGAAATTAAATCCTTTTGACTGCCCATGCTTCCTTGCATAAATAGACCTGAGGAAGTATTTTTGTATTTTTTCTATGTTAATTATATCTTTTTTTAAGTGTGGGTTCCAGATTGGTGAGGCAAATTCTAAACCGGTTCTTATATAGGTATTAAACATGTGTATAAGTATATTGTGATCTTTAGATTTGATAGAGTGAAGTAGATTGTACATGGTCCTTCGTGCTTTAGATGTGATAATTTGAGTGTGCTCCGAAAATTTAAAATCAGATGAAAAATATACTCCTAAGTCTCGAATAATGTTACATGATGAATCTATATATTTGTCGCCAATTTTATAGGGGTTTCTTTTGTTGTTTTTTCCAAGATAGAGTGTATGACATTTGTTTATAGATATATTCAAACCATTGATTAAACAATATTCGTGAAACTTATTGATAAAATTTTGTAATTGGTTTTGGTTAGTTTGTTTATATATTTGATACGCTTTTATATCATCTGCATAAAGTTTGCATTTGATATTGTCATTATAGCAGTATTTCGGTAAATCATAAAGATAAATGTTAAATAATATTGGGGCGAGTACAGATCCTTGATATACCCCACTATGTGTTTCGTAAGTTGAAGATAAAGTATCGCCTACTCTAACTTTGAAGTTTCTATTAGTGATTATATTTTTAATTAGTATTAGTAAATTTCCCTTAATTCCAATGATTTCCAATTTTTTAAATAGTCGTGCATGCGGAATGGAATCAAAAGCTTTTGCCAGATCAAAGTATACAATATCAATTAGGCTTTTTTCCTCTAGTGCATGTGATATGTCGTTTGTAATTTCTAGTAGTTGCGTGGTTACAGATTTGTTTTTAACAAAGCCATGCTGTGAAGGCGGTAGGATTTCATTTTTAAGCAGAAATTCGTTTATTTGTTTGGCTATAATTTGTTCGAAAACTTTTAGCAGAGTACAGGTCAATCCTATTGGCCTATAATCTTGTGCAGATTTTGGTTTTGCGTTTTTGGGTATTGGTTGTATTATTGCGGTTTTCCAAATGTCAGGAATATTTGAGGACATGAGACAATATGAAAAAATATTAAAAATCGGAAGCGCTAGCGTTTGTGCACATTTTTTTAAAAATATATAAGGAATTTGGTCTGGACTGGTATTACTGATATTTTTGGCTTGACAAAGTAAACTAAAGACATCACTTACAGTTATAGGTGTATATTCCAGAGTATTGAGAATTTGTGGGTTATCTTGGCTTAGATCCTCTAAATCTGGAATTTCGTTATTGAAGTATGAACTAAATTCATCGCCTAGTATATTACTTTTAACTTTTTCTGAAAAGACAGGCAATCCATTTTTATTGAAAATAGTCGGAATATTGCTATTTTTAGGCTTCAAAAATTGACTAGTGTATTTGAATCTAAAAAGGGAATTTTTAAGGTGTTTTCTTTCCCTATTTCTGTAAAATTTTTTAAGTTGTTTGTCAATATTTTTGCTAAGTAGTGTTATTTGTTTTGCGGTTTCCTTAGTTGGAATTTTCTTAAAAAGATTTTTTTGGTGGGAGTAAAGCTTACGAATGTGGATAGGAATTGCCTTTGGATCTATTTTTCCTTGTGTTATAGGTATGTATTTTTCAATTATATAATGTGTTATTTCGAGGAATTGTGAATAGAGTTCATTGAGATTTGAAGCTTTTGAAAAACAACTTAACCAGTCTATATTATTTAAGAAATTATTTATGTCCGTGTAGTTTGCTTTGTAAAATCGCTTTTGCGGGGATTTAAGTGCTTTAATCTCACGATAATAATTGATTTCGAAAGATATTGGATTGTGGTCTGAGGTACCAAAAGGTGTGCTTTTTTGCGGATTTTTGACCAGATTTTTTGGACTACTAAGAATTAGGTCAAGAATTTTATCCAAACGAGTGTGAAAATTGACGTGCTGTGTGAGTTCAAGTGAGTCTATAAATTCTATAAATTGTGCATCCTTAGAGTTTTTAGAATGTGGAGAGTTAGTTGACCACGATAAATTTGGGAAGTTAAAATCCCCAGTAATTATTAGTGAAGGCGAGTCTAAAGAAAGGTCATGAAGATTTTCAAAAAGCTGATGAAAGGTTTTAGTGTTTTCTTTATTAACGGATCTATATACGTTTAGTATTCTTATATTGTTGTTGGGTAAAATAAGGTCTACTCCGCTGATTTCATAGCTTAAACCTAGACAGGACTTGATGATAATAAATGGTAAAGTATTTGAGATAATTATACATGATCCTCCACCCACTCCTTTATTTCTGTCCGCCCTAATTATTGAATAACCAAAATTACCTATAACAACTGAGTCTAATATTTTGGTGTCTAACCAAGTTTCGGTAATCAGTAAAAGTAAATACATCTTTTGTTCTAATATAATATGTAGATTTTCTAATTTGTTTTTAAGACTGCGCGCGTTAAAATATAAACAAGTTATGCTTTTTTGATTTGTTTTCGTATTTTTACTAAGAGTTTTGGGTGCAGTATGATTAAAAGAATAGTTTGAACCCGGCTTAATACAGAGAGGTTTTATTAAAAATTTTTATTTTGCGTATTAATTACTTCAATTCCATCCATATTTGCCTTTTCACGTTCCTTACGCCTTGCTACTCGTTGTTCATATTCAAATTGTCTTTGTTGTAAGGTCAGAGAGGGCCGAAGGAAAATGTTAGATAATTCGTCTTTGCAAATTTTGATTCTTTCTCTTTTCCAAGCTGACAAACAATGCCGTTGATGCTGAGAAGATGGCATTAGAATTTTAATGGGACGGGGCTTGTGACCTTTTTCAGCTGGGTTTTTAAAAAACACCCATCCTATATATACTACTAGGATAAGACTCCACACCCAGCTGGTGAAGTAAACCTTGAACAGCTTTAGTGTCAGCTACTGCACGTTCGAAAGGTGGTGTCGTTGTTGGTTGTTCAGGTAAATTAATTAACACCAACGACCTCTGTCGCTCTTTTTCTTCAAAAATTTCGGTTGGAGTTTGAGTGTCTTGTAATAAAGAAGTGGCAATTTTTAATAGACTTGTCAGATGGGTAATTAAAGAATAATTTTGCTGAATAATGGTTTTAGCAAAATCCGGAATGCTGTTGTCAAGTTGTGGCAATTCTCCAATCGGAGGAATTGCATTAATAGAGTCAATTAATAATTTCTTTTTCCCTGATGTTTGGTCAGGAGGGGAAAAGTTGGAATATGAATAAGGACGCTTGTTGTTAATATTTTGTGAAGTCATTTATTGATTTTTTTTTAATGATCTTAAACTTGGAATATAAAAATAACAAAAATAATTATAAAAATAATTTAACAACAAAAATTTCAACAAATAAATGTATTTATAATAATCATTTACCTTTTGCTAAGGTAAAAATTGTTAAAAAATATTTAAAAAAAATTAATTTTTAAAAAGCCATTTTTTCTTCTCCCACGCATTATTTTAACTTTTTTAATTCCGTTAATTGTTGTTTTGTGTTGTAATTTTGCAATTATTATGAAAATGAGAAAATTAAATATTTCTCGGGTTAATGAAGGTGAGGAAATAAAATTATTATTTTTTTTGGATTTAATTTTGATTAGAAAATTTTTTTTCCGTAGGAAGAAATATTTTTTCGGTAATTTCCTTAAAAGCGTTCATTTCCAATTTTTTACAAATACACGAGGCTTTTTTGTGATATCCGATTTTTTATATGATTGTTGCGGATATAAAAATTAAAAAAAAAATTTAAGTCTTTCCAGAAACTATGTCAGTACATATTGGCTGACATTTCACCCAACATACAACACTTCAAAACAAGCTGTCACTTTAAAAAATTTTTTAAAATAAATATCCGCAATTTTCATAACAGTGGACTAGTGGAACCTCTCAAACACTTCACCTTTCGGGGCAGATTTTTTATTTTTCTCACTTCTCGGGGGGGGGGGGGGGCAGAACTCAGTTTTCCAATCCTAATTTTAAAGAAACTAAATATGTCTTAGAAAATACCGTAAATTCTCTAAAATAGCCCCCTCCCCTCCAAAATAACCCCCCCCTCTAAAATAAGCCCCCTGAGAGGTCGATCGAAAAAAAGCCCGGGGGCTTATTTTAGAGTATTTACGGTATGTGATCAGTGGATATAGAAAAAATCTGAGCAGGGCCATTTGTGAAATGAGAAAATTTTTAATATTTAAATTAAAAATTTATTTTTCAAGCAAAACCCACCAAAAGAGAAAATGGAAACAAAATTTTATTTATTTTAATTCCCTTCTTTTATGTTCTACTAAATTTACCTTATAATTTAAATTTGACTTTAATTAATTTTTGGAATGAAAATTTTGGTTCTTTAACTATTAATTTAATTGTTTTGTGGATATTTTTCTTAAATTATGCTATTGACTTTGTTATTTATCCGTTGGCTAGGTTATTGGGTTTTTAAAAAAATTATGAGAAAAATATTATTTTTTAAAGTCTACATTTCCGCAATTCTTTCTACCGTATTTGGATCCAGCCAATATTTTCTAAAAAGCCTTCAAGAATTGTCTCGGGAATTTCTGAGGAATCTGTGAATACAAAAATATGAAAAAATTTAATTATTTTAATTAATCAACTTTTGAATTAAATATAAGATTAATTTTAAAGTCGACTCTCATTTTTAGATACTCCCAATATTAAATTTAGAATAAGATGTTTTAAAATTTGGTTAGCCACTAAGGTTGTCGGATAGTTGGAAATCTTCGGATATTCGGATTCGATATCTGAACCAAAAATTTCCAGATATCCGGTCTTTTTTCGGGCCGGATCCGGCAAACTTATTGGCCTCAGGTTCGGATAGCTTTATATCTCTAAAGCGATATATTCCAATTTAAGATAACCCTCATTATAAATTATGATTTTTTACATTTCCGAGGGTTTATCTAAAAATGAGGGTGATAAGTTTATTAGACTTTCATCCAATTATTAATAGTGTTGATATTAAGTCGGGGTTTCCGGGTCAGGAGTCTGGAAGTAGGGTATTTTGATAAAAGCCTGTTTTTCGGAGGTTTAAGGGTTTATCTTGGAAACCTCCTTTCCGAGACAGTTTAAAAGGAAACAACGGATACTGGGCCCGGCAATTTGAAAAGTTCGGATTTTAGTTAGCGCATCTACACATACATAAACTATCAACAATCCACCTATAATTTTAAATAAAATTTCAATTATTAACATTTTTATATATTTTTTTGAATAAAAAATTGATTTATTTTGATTATTCATTTTTAATATGGAAATACCCAAAAATATTTTCTTTATATGAATGGTGCAAAAAAATATAATCTAAAAACAAAAAGAGCACAAAAACGGTTTTTTACAATTGAATAATTTTATTTAAAAAAATTCTTCCCATTTTTTATTTTTGCCTCAATTTCAGATCGCACCAAATGCTTCCTCTTTTTTAAATAAAAATTGACCTTTTTGTCAGTTTATCTTTCACCATTTTATTTTTTGTAAAGTTTATTGTCTATAAGCAGAATTTAATACCGTAAATGCTCTAACATAAGCCTGGCTCAATAGAAGTCCATTTCTAATATAAGCCCACTCAAGGCGCCCCATCGAAAAATATAAATTAACCATTTTTAAGAACAAGGAAAAAAATTTGATTGCCGCATTATTTTCAGATAGGGCCGAAAATTATAAGCCCAGTCTCCATATAAGCCCACTAAAATGACCTAGTGAAAAATATAAGCCCAGGGCTTATATTAGAGCATTTACGGTAATTAGGATTGTTCCGGAAAAAGTGAGGCAATGGAGAGAATAGGGACGAGCTTCTTTTTCCCAAAAGTCACAGATGCTAGGGTAGATCCGGATACCCAAAAATTTTCGGTTAGGATATCGTATCCGGATATCCACGGATTTTCCAGGATAAGTCGACTCTAACTGAGACATGCTAACTGAAAAGCAAAAAAGTATAGTAATCTGAAATTTTTTTGGAAGTTCCCGACCTACAAGGTAAGGTATTGAGAATAATACTAGATGGGGATTTTTTAAATTTTA